TCCAAGAGAGGTATCCTCATTGCAATAACACTGCATCGCCTTCCTCTTCTTTTTCTCTCCTCGAATTGAATGAATTCAATTGGACGGACGANTGAATTTATAAAGAAAATATGAATATATGGGGGGGTTGGGGGGGGGGGGCAGGAATGATGGTCGGGCCGAGGGGGTGCAGAAGGAAAAGAATTTCATGGATACCCTCCAAAGTTTTGGTCACTTGGCCTTATTTACCCATCTACAGCCCTTCTTTCTACTTTTTCTGACCCTGTGCACTTTCGCCACTTCATCTTGAAGAATAAGGAAAGTCACATGAAGTTTCGTTTGAAGAAGGAAAAAAGCAGAAGAGGCAACGGGGAGCCCATCCAGTGCCACAAATTCAGTTAGCTTTTAAATTTGCATTTTTTCGGTGTTTACATCCGTCGTTTTCGTCGTTTTTCTTTCTTCTGCAAAGTCCGTCCCGTCCATCTAAGCTTACTTTTCCAACCATCATTGTTCCCCCATTTGTAGGTTCTCTTATAGTATACTTGTTGACAATATCGGTTTTTGAAGTTTTCCTGTTTTGGATATCCTTCTAGTTCCGCGTACTCATTTTTTTCCAGAAGTGACGATCTACAGTTATTCTCCGAATTCTGAAGAATACGTGATTTTAGAATAGTAGTTATCACTAACTTTTTATGCACGATTTCATTCATTGATTATCACGCAATAGCTGTTTTAGTTGATTACCTGACTATATCAACTTTTTCCAATATCTCTGAATCTATGAAAACTTTTTTCCAATCAACCGAATTGCGGTTCTTCTTTATTTCATTTTTCAAATATTTTCTAACCTAATAGTAAGGTGAATACTTCAGTATTATGTTGTATGTATTTCTAGAATTCTCCAAAATTGACATTCCATTCAATGAGTTTTTTATCCGTCTTCCTCTCTCCGGAAATGGGTGGCTCACCTGACATGTGCTCATGGATCAACACATGACTAACTTTCAAAGTGTCTCTATTCGCTGCTTCCCTATCTGCTCTGTAATTAGAGTCGGAGCGCTACTCGTCCTCACTTTCGACGCTAACCGAAATTCGGTTATATTCTGATGTGTCCCCATTTTCTTTCTTTTTTGCTCTGAATCCAACACATCCCATCCAGACGTTTATCTGTCCCTTCCTCTTCTATTCTTCTCCAAAATAGATCCTGAGTAAAAGCAACAAAGTCTGCATACTTAGTAACTTGTGCGGCGTTGGGAGGCATACAGCTTCTGAATGCCGACGAACGGAAGGGCGCGGATGCTTGTTTTGGGTGTCTCTCTAGTGATCGACGGACGGATGGCGAGGAAGCTCGGTTTATTGCAAATGTGTGTGTTTTGAGGTGAAAAGAGGCAAAGAGTTTGAAAAATAAGGCCTTCGAGTTTATTGTTTTTCTAAACTTATCCTTATTATGATGAGAGCATTTGAAAACGTTTTAGTTAAACTAGATAAGGTTTTCCGGAAAAAACAAACACCTACGTGGATGTCTAGATCAAACTGAAGCATCATTAAAAGCTCTCGTATAATTACTTTGGCTTTTTAGTGAATCTAATAGGCTTTGCTTATTCAAAACAATGTCCCAGAGTTTCAGTCTTTCTCTACGGGAGCTGAAATTCTGATGTTTTCTGATTATTCTTAGCTGAAGGCCCCCTGGATGCATTGTGAATTTGCGTCAATGCTGCTCATTTGCACACTGTGTGTTTTCAGACACCGTCAACACTCTAATAGAACGCCGCCCTATATTCACACTTTGAGCTCAATTATCTCAATTTCTATAAGAGGTATCAAAAACGGGTCAACTCATAAAATGTTGATGGCATTATGACAAACATTTTGTCAGTTGACAGACTTTTGTTATCTTTTATAGAAATTGAGATAATTGAGCTAGGGTGACCTTCTATTACAGTTACGGTATTCAACGTTTTTTGCATGTGGTTCGTTTTCTATTGAAAACGTTAGTGTTTTACTTGTAAAAAGTTTCTTAAGGCTTTAGTGCACATTTGCTACTTAAAAACTCTCTGATCCACCACAATTCCTCATTTCATACGCCTTAATTAAAAGTCGATAGTTGTAGCACGAAAATTAAGAAATTTGAACATTCCATAAAACAAATTCATATCCCATCCTCCTCTTTGGCCAATTCACATTGAGCAATAATTCAACCATGAAAAGTTATTTGACCAGTTTTCATATTTATTTTTCCTTGATCTTTCTATTCAGCTCTTCAGTCGTCTTACCCATTCTCACACTAATATCGTCTCATGATAGTTTTCGAAATTCTACATTTTGCACTCACTAGTGGATCCAAAAAGTTCCCTCATTTCGAAACCTTTTGTGATTTGTGTTCTTCAGAATATCTGAATGAAAGTGTGTCACACCGGGAAGCTTATTTTGTAACAACAAAAAACGCCTCGCTACGGGAGAGGGACTATAATTACTGCTTCGAGTCTATCTGTGTGAGCAATAGGTGAAAATGAGGCGACATTTATCTAAGACACACTTCTTCTTTTTCTCTTCCCATTTTCTGGCTGCAATTATTCCAACACGAGATTTCAAGATTCCAAAAATCCTTTTCTACAAAACATCCTATCATTTTTGGCTCTTTTTCTTTCTCTTTTATTTCGACTTTTCATCTCATCTCATCCATTTCTAATGACTTTTTTCAACCTCGCACTGTGTTCTTGGTTTTCTTGGTTTTTCGTTTCGCTCCAATCATTTTCTTGTTCTTCCTTGTTTTTGATGTATCTAAACTCTCAATTCTTTTCAGATGTTCGAATAGAAGCTGAAGACGTAGAAACAATAAAAAAAGAGGAAAAATGGAATTTACCGAATGCAAAACTGTCCTTTTTCATTTGCCAGAAAAAAGTTTTTTCTACGATATTTTTATGTGAGTTTGATTAATGTAAAACCTGTAATAGAAGAGCTTTCACACTGTCATGTTTGAGTTTAATTATCTCAGCTCCTATAAGAGATATCAAAAATGTGTCAACTAATGAAATGTTTGTGATATTATGGTCAACATTTTATTAGTGAACAACTTTGTCATATCTTTAACAAGAACCGAGATAAATTGACGCAAAGTTGAATTCTGAGGAGTCTTTCTATTAGAGTGTTTAAGGTATGTAGAAATTGCATTTCCTTTATTACAATATTTTCAGCAAAGTATATGATTTCTACCATCCCATCCATGCCTATCTATCAATTTTCCTTTGCGTGTTGGGCACCATTGCCAACTTCTGCAATATCGTTGTACTCACAAGGAGAACAATGCGAACACCAGTCAATATGATTCTAACAGCAATGGCGTCTTGTGATACTGTAGTGTTATTTTCCAATTTAATCTACACTACACACTATTCGTTTGTCGCTTTCAAATTTTGTCATCCGAAACATTGGTCATATTCATGGGCCTTATTTCTGATTGCTCATGCTCATCTTTCTCTAGTTGCACATTCTTCAAGTGTATGGTTATCAGGTAGGGTATTTTTTTCATCTAAAATCCAAACTGCAAAAATCTAATTTTCAGTAATGCTTGCTCTCATTCGATATGTAACTCTGAGGAGTAGGGGGAATATGGGTGGAATGCAAGTGACACTGAAACATTCATATTATGCAGTAGCTGTGACAGTATCACTGGTAGCAGTGCTGAATGCTCCCAACTTTTTAAATTATAAGATCAATGAGCAACCACTAAATGAAACATGCAGTGATCTGGATCCTAAATACTGGAATTCTCCTGCGTATCTACCTGGAATAGCAGATATTGCAAAAGCCAATAGTTGTTTGGTAAGTGTCAAAAAACACCTTTTTTCGTAATTGTAGATCATTCGAATTCTATTTTGGAAATGTGAAAATTATCACGAGATTTTCGACAACCTTTATAACTTTTATATCATGAACTTAAAGAGCAAATAATTTCATAACAAAAATGACGAAACAAAAACCAATCATACATCACGAATCTAATTTTCGTTTTTTTTTCAGGTTTTCCGATTATCATATTGGATATCCGGTCTGGTATTCAAGTTGTTACCATGCGGACTACTGTCGTTGTTTGTTTGGCTGCTTCTGAGGATTTTAAGAGAAGTGCGTGAGAATCGACAACGACTTTTGAAGAATTCACAACACCGACCTCCGAACCAGACGACGACTCGAAATGGTCAGAGATTGAGCATTTCGGTGGCTGGAAATGAAAAACTGGGACGGAACGGAAGCTTACGGGGAAGAGGAGAACGGGTTGACAGGACAACTCATATGCTTTTGGCTATTGTAGCAGTTATGCTGATGACTGAATTACCACAAGGAATTATGGCAGTGCTATCTGGAATGCTGTCTGAGGAGTTTAGAATTTATATCTACAACAACTTGGGTGACATTCTGGATTTATTCTCTCTTTGCGGATCCTGCTGTTCTTTCATCATCTACTGCTCAATGAGTGGACAATTTAGAAACGTAAGTTTTATGTTAAACCATTTTTTCGTAAAACCTGAAATATTATGCTTGTCTGAGAAAAAAAGGTGAGACGCAGAGAAATAGTGTCTGCGTCTCCACTTAATATGTGCTATTTAGGCTCTCCGCTTCGATATAGCTACCGTATTCAGACTGCAAACAATACTCTCTAACCTTTTTTTTCTCAGACAAGCATAATAGCTGTTAGAATGTTTCTTACCGTAAACTCTCTAATAGAAGAATACCCTATAATTCCAAAAAATTTTTCTTACAGGAATTCCATCGTGTCTTCATTCCAACCAAAATGAAGTGCCTCCGAATGCCATCACCCTCGATTCGCCGCCCATCCGATGCTTACAGTACCACTAAAATGACTTTTCTGAAACCAAATGAAAAGATGAACGGAAACGGCAACGGAAACTATTCGGATGATACAAGGTCAGCAAGTGTGAAAGTAAGATTATTAACAAAAATTAACACAGAATACAATGGTAAATCATAAATTATTTCAGATGGTCGGAGTCCAAGTGCGACGAAATAGCACTGAAATAACTCGAATGACTGGATGTGATTCTTTGACTCCTTGCTCACCAATGCCCGCTTCATTCCCATCGTCTCCACTTCCACCTATTCGAAGTGGAGATGACGAACCGACTGATGAGACATCACATCTTCTCAACAATTCTGGACCCAACTCAACAGCCAGTGCTGATGGTATTCATGGACACTTTCAGAACATCTAACGACGACATCATTCCTGTCTGAATCATCCACACATACACAAATTGCAACACGTGTCGAAACAAAACCTTTAGTATTTACGATTATCACGGGTCCATAATCTGATTTTCTGATCATGTTGATTTCTTTTTGAGCGAGTTACTTCCAATGAATCTTGTTTTTTTTCCAATTAAATGGTCATTAATAGGGGAATTTTATATTAAAAAAAGGCTGATACTGGGCGTTCCAACTATGCATCTCATTTAGATATGAAGAATAATTTCTGGCGCAGGAAATAACGGGCATTAACACCGCCATGGATGTTCGAAAAGGAATTCGGAAAGTTGAAATTCCGATTTTTTAATTTTTTCTGAATGAAACAGACCTAAATATTTCCAAATCTTTTTTTCGGGTTCAAATTCCGACCAGAATATTTCCGACGTTTTTTTTCGCAATTCGTGTTTTTTGGACTACGGCGAAGGCGCAAGCGAAAAGGTTCCTTGTGGGTATCGGGCGGAATCACTTTTCGTATTTTTGATGAGTTTTCGGAATCTGTTTGTCAAGGTTTCACTTGTTTTTCGCTCTTTTGTCATCGGAAATTTTGAAAATTAGAGTATTCGGAAGATTCCAAAATTTCAAATAACGGAATATTCCGAAATTCTATTTTTCAAATTCGTATGTTCCGATTTGGCGAAAATTGAAACTCGGAATTTTTGTTAAAAAATCCAATCCGAACAATTCTGAAACTCTACTGCACAGACATCGCGCGATGCATCGCCGGCGCCGCGACTTGAGGAAACATCTAGCGTAATCTACTGTACTTCGCAAAAAACTGCGCATTTTTGCGTGGCTAATGTTCACCAGAGAGTGCATGCACAGTATTTAGGCGAAATTTTCCAATTGCGGTCGGTAAAAATCCTAGAAAATTTCGCCTTAAGGCGATTTGTTTTTAAAAGGTGAACCGACGGTGTCTGTTCTCGTTTCTCATTTACCGATCTCTCGATTGTCTCTGTCGTGTTTTAATTGTTTACCTTTCAAATCACTCATCATCGTTTTTGCTCGTTTTCTTCTTGATTCTTATCTTGAACACCTTCCGTTTTGCTTCAATTCAGATTCGTTCAAAAGCAGTAATGACGACGATGACACCGAATGAAATGCAATCGATGAATGCTGCCATCGATGCAGAATGTCCCATTTGTCAGTGTCGAATGGTTGTCCCTACGGCAGTTCCGGGGTGTAGGCACTGGTTTTGCTTCACCTGTCTGAAAGGAGTTTGCATGAATGAACAGTGCCCATTGTGTCCAATGTGCCGCGGAAAAATTGATTTAGGCATTTTCAATCTCCCAAGTCGAGATCTCGACTTGAAAATGGATGTTCCGATTTCACCAGTGGTCGTGCAGAGTGAGTCATTCAAATATTTTGCTGAAAGTGAGAAAATCGAAATTTTTTCATGACACTGTTCTTCGTTTTATTAACTTGTTGTAAAACAACCGTTACTTTTCAGAAAACCGAGCAGGCATAAATAGAGCTGACGGAAACACTACAGTTTCTCCGATCGACTTCGACGGTAATAATGAAAAAGTTACATCGGAAAATCAGAATTTTCAGATACGCCAGAAGATCTTTCCAAAGAGGACCAGAAGAAAATGTACTGGCTGTACCGTGGCAAGAGCCAAGGCTGGTGGCGATTCGATCCACGTCACGAAAGAGAAATCGAAGAATCGTATCTCAAAGGAAAACTTCAATGCGAAGTGCTGATTTGCGGAAGGACGTACATCATCGATTTCCAAAGAAAATGTCAGTATCTTCAAAACCAGCCATCACAAGCACGAGAAGTAACACGCGTCTCTGCTGAAGAGTTCGACGGAATGGAAGTCAAAGGGCTTGCAGGAGTTTTTGTACCTACATCATAATCCGAACTCGAAAATTGTATTCAAACTCATTCACATTCACTGAATTTATCTATTACCACTAATCTCTTTCCCTTCTAGCTGTATTTATCTTGTGCATTTGATACATAACTCATAGTCCGGTAAATAAATGAATTGAATCTCGGCGTAGCAATGTTTTATTCAAAACAGGAAAGTATAGTAGCTAGAGATCAGTTAACCGACAATATTACCGGGTGCCGAATTGAAAAAAACAAACGAGGTGTGAAAAAAGAGGAAGCCTACTAAATTCGAAAGCATGAAATGGGAGAAAAGTAAAAAGAAAACGCACAACCCGTCGAGGAATGTTCTTTTCGTTTGAATATATCTGGCTACGATAAAAAAATTAGAAAACAAGAAACTACTTAGAGACTACAGCTCGTTCTGGTGTTGAGATCGTGACGTGGCGCTTCAACTGAGTACCTAAATTCCTAATCGGCGACATTGAACAGTCTCTTGATGGAACATTCGAAGCAAATTCTCCAGGAGCATTTGAGTTTCCAGCTGGCCTATAAAAGCAAACGACAGCTACACAGTTGTTGGCGGTGTTCCAGTATCGAGCAGCTCCAAGTTCTGTTGTGTCCTTCCAGACAACTTGAGAGAATCGTTGACATTCTGAAATCGGATTCATTGAGTGGTATTCGAAAGAACGACACTTACTTGGATTCCATCTTGGCTTATCAAAATCAAAGAATTGTGCTTCTTTCTCCCATTCCTGAATCACCTCCTGCCCAGTTGGAAGATGTGATTGCTCATTCGCCTCTTTGAGAATCAAATTCTCTCCGATTCCTGGCAGTTCCGGATACAGTATTCTTCCCCTATCAGCTAACTTAACCGCCCATGCATGTGCCATCTCAGCCAGCTCAGTTGACCAACAAAGGTTCTCGTTACCGTACCTCTGCCGACACTCGTTGTGAGCATCTAGACAAGCTCTTTGAAAGTTCACTTCACCTGAAAAAATCAGATTTAAATAAGGATAAAGCATTTCTAAATACTCACTAAGGGCAGTGTATTTACTGTGTTTGATCATGTATTTGACGTCTGTGATCGTCTGCATCATGTGCTTATCCAACTGGGCATCGAAATTTTTCCGTGATTCCTCTCCAATTGAAGAGCACACCGCATCGTAATCGTCTCCATAAGAGTGAGAGTGTACATTACTGAAATCGAGATATAAAAAACATAAGGTGAAGTTAAATAATTCCAACTTAGAAATTTGAATTATGGCACATAAAGCGCCTTATAAAAGTTTCCAAACTTTAAAATTCTAATCAGAATTTTGTATTCTGATAAAATGTTAAGTTTAGTGATCTGGTGATCTTCTTCATAGATTTTTGTAGTAGGCTATTTCGAATTAACACGGACTGATGAAACAAAATCACTGATAAGAAATACCGTAATCACTCTAATAGATTTAAGTGCCAAGTTTGAGCTTATATATCTCGTTTCTGTGAACGATATCAGAAAGTGGTCAACTGACAAAATGTTGTTGATATCATAATCGTCGTTTTATCAGTTGATCACTTTTTGATATCTGTTACAGGAGCCGAGATACATGGTCTCAAATTAGGATTAAATCGATTAGAGTGTTTACGGTGTTCGGTTCCAAACTGAAGAAATAACTTTCTTTCCTATATTCCGAATGAAATAAATGCTCACTTTACTATATTCGTTGACTTGGATTGTGGAATAGGAATTGGTTCCGTTGGTACTGGTGTTCCACCTGCTGCTCCATTCTCATGTTCGTGTCGTTCTGTTTCCGTCTTTTCACCCGTAAAATCGCTCTTCGATTTTCTCAATTTCTTTCGAGAGAAGAAGCGTTTCATGTCTCTGAAAAAGAAACCAATTAGAGAATGGGAAGAGAATAGGAAATGCGTTGTACGGAAATGGATCGTAAAAGTTGATGTTTTGGGGAAGAGCAGCCAATAAAAACAAAGCAACATTTGAGAGTGAAAATGTTGGCAAGTGAAACAAATTCATCTCGAAGTCTGAAGAGTGTCCGGAAAACAGGGAAAGCTAAATTCAAAGAGAATGAAGGATATGTGGATTTCTATGTGTGCACTTGTAGAAGAAGTCGCAGATCCCTTGGGAACGATTGCTCCAAAGCGGTTTCGTATGAAATCAGAAAAGCAACGAAAAAGAAGGGGGAGGAAGACAAAAGGGAATGGATACAAAAAGTGCGTCGCGCTCAATACTAGAAGAAGTTAAAACAACATCGAAACTTCAGAAAGACACAAAAGGCTAGGAGGACAAAATGTCAACGAAGAAGAAGAAGAAGAAGAAAAAGAAGGGAGAAGTGGTGGTAGTGGTGACGAGGCGCCACAATTTGTTCGACCGGAAAATGGGAATTAGACTTGTCTATGTTTAGGCTTCGCTCTGTTTAGAAAATGCCCGGGATGTTTCTCTCTTCTGCAAAAAAAACTAAACATGGCCAAAAAGTGGCATAACCTATATTCAATTTTCGTTGGGTAAAAGAACTCGTCTAGACTATAGTACTGCGTTCCCACTCATATTCTTCCCAACACAAAAGAATACAAAGATGCAGAAGAGAAATGGGAAGAAGATGGAGCATTAAAGGAACACAATTTTGAGCGGACCAAGGCCAATCTCGAGAATGGAGGTTCGGAAATGAGCAGAGCTGCCAGATGTGGGAAGCAGTTGGGGAGAAAAGAGAAGAAGAAACGGGACCCAGGGAAATTGAAATGAAGAGGAAAGAAGAAGAAGAGGCTTCATTTTCGTTTTGCCGCGAAGAATATGAATTAGAAAATATCGAATTTCATTTGGGAGCAGAAGAAAAATAATCGGAAAGGAGGAATACGACTTTTCTTGAACTCTATACTCTGTGGAAAAAATGTACACAAAAAAAATGAAAATGTACAAATGTACAAATGTACATGTATTATTACATGAGAAACTCTATATAGGTTGACATTCAATTTGGAGGGAAGTATAGAAAAAAAAAGAAAAAGGGAACAGGTGAGATATTTCGATTATACAGTAAGACCTTTCATAGGAGGGCCTCCATACTGTCAAGTTTGAGCTCAATTATCTCGATTCCTATGCAAGATACCAAAAGATGTATCAACTAATAAAACACTTATGTTATTATGATAAACAATTTATCAGTTGACAACCTTTTCACATCTTCGACAGAAACAGAGAAAAATTGGCTCAAAATTGACAATTAAGGAACTTCTGTTAAAACTTACAGTAACTACCATGACCGAGTAGTTATTTACCAAGTCTTGAAGAAATCAAAGCTTATTAATTAACATGGATCTTACTTGCTTATTCGACATTTTAGAACTTCGGTATTCAAATGTCCATGGAGCATTCATTTGACAATAGTGTGCACGGTCTAAATATCGTAAGAACTCTATAAGAAAATTACCCTATACTTTACTTTGACCTAAATTATCTTGATTTCTATGAGAGATATCAAAAATATGTTAACTGATAAAAAATTTGCGATGTTATGACGAGCATTTTATCAGTTGACAGATTTTTGTTATCTCTTATAGAAACTGAGATAATTGAACTCAAAGTGAAAGTATGGCGTGGCTTTCTATTGGAGTGCTTACGGTTCACAAGCTTGAATTGATAAGCTGGAAAAAAACAGATTGATGACTTTGAGTGAATAGAGTATTTTTGAAAAGTGTTCCTTTTATGTGTACTCTGAAATTGTAAATGTATTCGAATAGGCTGCCCAATCCAACAGTCAATCAAAATTGACCTATAGTGACCGCTTGAATTGCAAATAAAAGTCGGACCAAAAAGTGTTTACGTTTGCATGTGTGAAACAAAACACTATAACTCTAAAACGGCCAGTGGTCTAAACACACGGAGACACATGTACACAAGCAGCGAAAAACCGAGAAAAAGAAGGCGAAGCAAGCAGCAAGAAATGTTTGAAGAGGTCCGGACACTGCGCGTAACGCTCTGCAAGCTCTCCGCCGAGATGCCGCGCTATTTCGTTGGTTGTCGTGGAGGACGTTGTCCCTGTCCGGGACCCGGAGAGCCAAACCAATACAACCGCCTTCTTCTCCTTCTTCTTCTTTTACTTCCATCGTCTCCTTCTTTGTGGAAGATGGGAGCGGCGCGGACCAAACGTATCGATTTGTTAGGGTAAAGGGTTGCGGACTACTGGACACGACAACGAAAAATGAAGACGGGAAGAAAAACGGAGGAAGATGAGTGACCAGCGGCTAACTAGATGGATTGTTGTTTGTGGTTCCTGGGGACACGAGAGACTATGTTTTGCGTGTTCCGACGTTTTTGACTTTTAGTGGTGCTGGTGGACACTAAACATTCTTCACTTTGCAACGACCTCTTGGAAGAAAAATGGGAGAACCATCTGGAAATGGTCAAGCTAGAATACATTTTCTCGAAATAGAAATGACACTCGGGAAGCTCCAACTATTGTCGAATTTAGAAAACTGGGACCCTAGAATTTGAAAGGCGTAGCTTTTTTTTTTGATTTACGAAAAAGTGCGGCAAAAACGTAATATTTCAGACTTTCACCTCGTTCGAGCTACTTTCGCAATTAAATTTGGTTTTTCGATGAAAACAGATTCTAAAGATGTTAGCGATCATTTTCATTCCAAGAAATCAACATTTTGTACGGAAAATCTCACTAAATTCACAGAAATAAGTTTCGTTTACTACTGTAGTGATTTTCAGGCAGGGCCTCGAAACATGTCCGGGAAGCCGCCCGCGAAATTTCCCAGATCCCAGTTTCTTTAATTCGACAATATAGTATCTTCGAAACGATGGAGGTATCTGATGATTACAGTACAACATCAGAATAGAATCAGTTCTACACTCTCAATTGAATGACTAGTTTTTAGTTTCCACTCAATACCTATTCTAGGAACCTATTCTACAATGTCAGTACCTATTCTACAATGCCTATTCTATGAACTACTAAAATTGATTGTTTAACACTTCCAAATGATTAGAATTGAGAAATAAGATGTGCGGGGAAGAAGACATGGGAAAAGAAAAATGCAATAAAAATAGGAGATGTGCTCGTTTTACATCTTTACACAAACCGGCACGCAAACATACCCAATTTGTTATGAGACCCCGTCTGGTGAATTGGGTTTCTAAGAGAATGGGACAAGTGCTGATTCAATTATGAATTGTCCCAGCACCAATAGATAGGATAAAATGAGATGGGAGATGCGGGTGTCGGTGCAAACCAAACAATATTTCGAAACGTCAAGACAATTGAGAGAGAGAGGGAACGAAGATGAGTCTTTCAGATGATGGGTGGGGAATTGATCCGTCTCGGCAGGTTAGGTGCCGAAGTGTAACGCCAGCTGACCCGAGGTTTCACGACCATGGGTCAAGATGATAAGAGATGGGAAGAAGGATACGAACTTTTAGTCACTCATGTTTCACTAGGACACAATGCGGACTTCTTGTTTTCTTTCGGCAACAACTATTCTGGTATTAATTACAACTGGCAAGTTTTTTTTGGTCCTCATCTCAATTCCTTTGTGTTTATTACTTTTGTATACATTCAGAAAGCGCAAGACACGAGAAGCAACTGAGCAACAACATCCGTTTGGTCAAGAAAAAAATTCAAGATGGACTCAAGTTTTCTAGGGTATGAACTAGATTGGTCTAAGATTTTTTTTTAGTTTTTGGAAGTATCCTAGAAAAATGCCTACTATATGAAAACACACAATCTTCGAGAAACTTCGAAATTGTTACACTCCCGATAACACTACACCGATCATTTTTGAGCGACAATTGTTTTGATCTTGTGGTTTCAAAAAAAGTTCATTACAGATTATCCACTACACGAACGAGACTATTCAGGGAATGAAAACGAATTACAACTCGAACAAAACTCAGGAACTTTCTTTGGATGTTCTCGTCGTTTCGGATTTTTTAACATATCAAGGTTCTCGAGATCTTTAAAAAATCACGATTCCCAGAAAAACATAAAATCTTTTTCAGCATTTTTGGAAATGTCGAACGGAGACTCCCACAAAGCTGTTCATGACTTGAAAGTTTATCTTCAGGCAATTTTTGAGCAAACCAAAATCATTTATAATGGAATAGCTTTTGGAAATGAAACTCTTCACATGGTCTTTGCTGGAACTTGGATTTCAACATCGTGAGTAAGCGATTCAAAGTTAAACTAAACTTATGAATTCTCATTTAGAGAAAAAGACTGTCCATTATGGCTGAGTTGGGCCGAGGAAGAAGAAGAAAAAGTCATCAATGATGAGATTATCAGATTGGAAGAAGAACATGATCGATGGAATTCCACTATCGAAGAAGAAGAAAAAGATTGGTTAATGAACTCAACAGAATTATCTGCAGACAACAACTCGACGGACGACTTGCTTTCGTCAGAAAAGCGGAAGAAATTGAGAAAGTTTGTAGGCGTTACACTGGAAGAGTTGCAGGAAAACAATAGTACCGAGTGAGTCGAGGAAATTCCCTTTTTTCTGATTTTTTCTGATGACTCATTTCAGAATGGCATTAAAGATTGATTCGAAGAAAGCAGTTGATAAGTTTACAATCTGGCTGAAAGAGCAAAAAGGACTACCAAGGCATGAACATGCAGTTTTAATCACAAAGTGAGTTTCGGTTTTATTGAGATATCAAAAAAAAAAGAAAATTTGCTTAGATTCGACCTAATCAGTATCAATGGTCACTCAGCTACTCAAGGAATGGCATACGTTGGGAACATCTGTGAGAATGGAGATTCAAGTTCGGTTGTAGAAGATATTGGGGCAGGACTAACTTCACTAATCATGGCACATGAGATCGGACATTCGTAAGTTTTTAATACCTCTGAAATTCTTAGCAATGTGCTTTCAGCCTTGGAGCACTTCACGATGGTGCATTTGAGGCAGCCGACTGTGATTCAAATGACAATTATTTGATGGCAGTTGCTGTTTCAGGAAGTGCAGATCGACAAAGTTTCCTAAATAGTCGGCGAATGAGTAACTGCAGTGTAAATTCGATTATAGAAAATCTGAAAGAACCAACTGCCAGTTGTGTAAAGAAATGGAAAACTAAAGGAGGGAAAGATCAGAGAGATTTTATGAAGAAACCAGGAGAGACTGTGAACTTGGCAAGACAGTGTCAGATTGCATTCGGTCCCACCTTCAAGCCTTGTTTGGTAAATTGTATTCTATACATCACATTATTTAAGCAAAGTAATTATCCCTTCAGCACATCGGATACTTCCATGGACAATCAATCTGTGAAAGGATCTGGTGCAGCGACGGGGACAGTGATGAATGCCAAACACTCAATTATTTTCCTGCTTTCGATGGAACCGATTGTGGATATAATATGGCAAGTAATTTTGTTCATTAATCACCGCTCACTCTTCACTTTCAGTGGTGTATCGAAGGACTTTGTGTTCAAAACACCAAGAAATGGATGGATTGTAAAGATTTGAATTCGAAAACTTGCTCGAGATACTCTACTTCTAAACTGAAACACTATTGCAAGTCGAAAGATTTTCGAGAGATCTGTTGTAGAACGTGTGCTCAAAAAGGAAAAGTATACTAGTCGGTGAATGAATAAACACTTCATATATATATGTATATGCAGATAACAACAGAACATAAATACAAACAGAGCACAAAATCAGATCTAGTTAGAGAAACGTCTTCTGAATTTGTCCGGACGAGCTGGAGCGACCTCAACTGGTCCACTTCTGGCTGGGCATGGACAGTAAGCTCCATCGGTTCCTGGAACTCCATCAAGTCCGTTCTCTCCTGGCTGTCCGTCTCCTCCCTTTTGTCCTGGTTGTCCGTCAGATCCAGCTGGTCCTGGTGCACCGGCTTGTCCTGGAGCTCCATCTTGTCCTGGCTGTCCGTTGTTTCCTGGAGCTCCTGTGGCTCCTGGGGCTCCTGGTGCTCCTGGAGTTCCACGTCCACGGCGACCGTTCTGTCCCGGACGTCCATCTTGTCCTGGTTGTCCATCGTTTCCTGGGGCACCAGCATCTCCTTGCGGTCCTGGTGCTCCTGGAGCTCCTGGTTGTCCTGGGAATCCGTCTTTGCCTGGCTGTCCGTTTGGTCCTGGAGCTCCTGGAACTCCATCTGGTCCTTGTGGTCCTGGTGCACCAGCTGGGCATGGGATGCATTCAGAGGTGGAAGCAGCGATGCTGGCAACCACGGCGTTTTGTCCAGCGCTTCCTGGTTGTCCTGGCTCTCCATCATGTCCTTGGTCTCCAGGCGCTCCTGGTGGTCCTGGTGGTCCAGCTGGGCAGTTGTTTGGCTGAGTTCCGCAGTTGCAGGAGGCTTGTCTCTTGTTACGTCCGAAGATGGTAGCTGGATTCAGGTGTCGGACTGGTTGATTCATTGTGATCATCGAGTCCCACGCATCGTTGGCAAATGTCTAGAAGAAATGAATTTCAGCTACGGTTACTTTCAGATCCCAACGCTCGAAATCCATTTTTATTTTCATTTTTTGTGATATAAATAGTTTCATATTTTCTTTCAAAAAACCAACCTGGAAGTCATTCATATCTCCCATAACATCATCGTAGAGTCCATTGATATCTTGATAAATGGAACCCAAAAACAAGAGGCATCCAAGAATAGCGACACCTGAAACGGCGGTAACTCCAGCAATGAACGTGTTCGACATGCTAATGCCTGCTATCTTTTCTCCCTAACCTGTCTCTTTTTATATCGTCATCGCGCCTCCCGCCGAGGACGAAAAGCCTTGAGTCCCGCCTAGTTACACCGCAGTTTATGTTTTTCATGAAGACCCTCTTTTTTTACATCTTGGTTGGTGGGCAGAAGCTTTTCTAAACGTGTAGTTCTTAGTTCCTGGTCAATAGTAAGAGAAACGATTTTACTACATTCACATTTACATAATAAAGAAAAAGGTGATCAGCAGCATCAATTGCATTTGCCCTTGAGATCAATGAGAACCTTTATTGTTCAACATATTGCAGGGCGGAAGCTATAAGGGAAGATGCAAAATGAGGAGGAACACAAATACATATTTGTGACGTCAAAGAGCATCTAAATGCGGTTCGGGGGGCTTTTCCTAAATTTATACAAGAAAACAATGGACCCTGTTCCTTTCATTTCTGTTCCTTTTTTCAATCCAATTTTATATTTTCCAAAGAATGTGGACTTTTCATTGTCCAGGAAGTACAATGACTATTTGTTTTCTGTTAATTATGCCAGTTACCACCTTCAAAGGTGTCTATTTCTTTTGTTTGTCTCACCTCTCATATGATAATAGCTTATTATCAATCATTCCGAGAATTCGTTCGAAACAATGAAATCCTTGAAAATACAGGTTTTTCTAGACGATTTTTTTTTGTTTCCAATAGTCACTCGATTTTTTTTGTCACCCAGATTTTTTTCGTTTTTTTTTGTTACGTAAGGAGACTTGTGTGGATATCTGATAATTGTGTGATAAGGAAGTAATAATAGATGCAAAATAATTTATCTTCAGATGTTCCCTGTAGTAAACTTCTGTCAGAACCCAACCATCCCATCAGATGAATGAACGAAAAAAAAGAGAAAGTGAAAGGTCATATGAACAACAATTTTACTACAAGGCAGATTTCAGAAAATGGTTGATGAGAAGCATCGGAAAAGAGCTTGTGGATAGATAGAAAAAAAAAGAAAAATAAAAAACAAGTTGGTTCTATGTCTCTTCTCATTCTGTTGAAATTATTCGTAGTATTCCTTTTTTTGAAAATACATGTCATTTGCAGTCGGTGGGTCCTCTTCTGAAGCAGAATCCCTCCTCCCAACAAAGTCACTCATCCCCATCTACGCTTGGTTCATTGTCTGTAATCGGAGAAGATGACTATGTTTTCTATCTTCTCCCCTTGATTCTTGGATCTTTTCCATGCCAAATCGGTTGAGCTTCAGAACAAACGGAACCCGTCAAATAACATACAAATATGTGTTTACTACAGCTGGTCCCACTCTCCTCTTTTGCTTATTTGTTTGTGATTTGTCAGTCATTTTTATTTTGGAAGGATGGAAAATTGAGAGAGAAAAATGGGGATGCCTCCTGTTACTTTCCTTCTTTTTAAGTCTTTTAACTATAGTTGGTTGAACTCTTGAATAATTAATACGAAAAGTAGCGTCCATTCGAAGGTCATTTTTGAGAGCAAACTCATCTGATTCGTCGCCATCTCAGCATAGATCTATCTTCTTCCTGAAAAAAAACCCACATCTGTTTTTTAAGTGAGCATCATGATCAGGCGACGATGACTACTTCTATTCTGACGTAGCCATTTTTTCCCCACCGAATATTTTCATCTCCGGATGTTAAAAACTATCAAGTTGTCTAGTGATATATTATATTTTTAGGTTCATCACATAATACCTTTTTTGTGTTTTAATCAATCACTGGTTTTTATCGAGACTGACATTCTAAAGCTAGACTAGCAAACTAGAAACTGATTTAATACAAAAACGGCAAAAACAGAAGTATGTTTTGAGGAAAAGGATGACTTCCCCAAAAACTTTCATATGACGTCCTCAAGGTGTTTTTTCCGGAACGATTTTCAAAACAATTTTTCCCGCGTTTTTCCCGCCGAGTAGCAACTCAGCAGTTTAATTTAAAGCTTTCGCGTCGAGACCAACACCTTTTTACTACTGTATAAAAATGTTAGCATCAAAGATGTCTTGAAAAAAACACCGTGCGTCCTATAAACTGACAAACAAAACGTTGTGACATCTTCTGATATGATAGATGATATATGATTTTTCGCAGTTAAAAATGACTGAAAACAAAGCTGGTCATTCATTTTCATAGCCATATTTCTGATTGAACTTTTCCCAACTTTTTCTCCAAAATTTCCGTCCCTTAATAATTTCCGGGTTTCTCTATTCCACAAAATATATTTTATCAATGATGAGCAATCCATTAGCATAAGGTTTATTTCTGCACATTCTGAACTTTTCCTAAAACTTCCTTGACCTCATTGACAGATTGCCCAAGAAACGTCAAAACGAGTCGTGGGCATGTCCCCGGAGGATCCAAATCTCTGGTCTTGGTATCCGTCTGTTCATTCAGTCCACGTCTTCTTTTTCTATCCTTCCCAAATGTTTATTTCCTTTACGTCTTCCTGTTTTTTCTTCTGATAGTAAGGAAAAGGAACCGAATGAATCTATGGGTGTGTGCACACGAGTGTTTCGTGTTTTTGAATGAAAAAAGGGTCTCATTCAAATATAACTAACTAATCAAACGACTGAAAAAAAACAGCACACACACATACCCATAGAATCATTCAGTGGTCGTCTGAAATGACACAACTGAGTGGCTCATTTGGTTAGTTTGGGAGAACACATACTAGGATTACTTGCATTTTTTTTTCATTTCTTTTCCAAAATTCAGTTTCTACTGATGATTAAGTTTTTGTGTGTTCCGAGTTGCTTCCAAATTAGGATTTAACTTTTGTATTAAAGGAAATCGAGAGTATCTCTCTTGTCCGAAATCAATGCAACTCAAGGAAATACCGTATTTTTTGAGCCTATTTTATATTAGTTTTCTATTTTCTCCAGTTTTCGACAATTTTTTAACGCCACCCCTAACTTTCCACTTCAATCCAAATTTTCTCCATTTATGTAAAAGATATCAGAATGTGGTCAACTGACAAAACATTTTTGATAATGTGTTGAACATTTTGTCTGTTAAGAGAATTTCTATACATGTGGATGGCCGGGCCGGGCCGGGCCGGCCCGCTTGCCTCAAACCCCTCGGCCCGCCTAGGACAACTTTTCGAAAATGTTACTTTTCAAATGTGCCAATATATTTTTAATAGCACAAATATCAATCCAAATGCATACAACCATCCGAAAAAGTCAATTTAATTGAATTTTTAGCAAAAAAATCAAACTTCATCAAGCCAAGGATGAAATTTTTCTAAAAACGACCTCAAAACAGTTTTTTTTTCGAAAGAATCGTCCTCTAGTGTGGATTTTTATTTATTAATGAAAAAAGCCATCTTGAAAAATGATGATTTGCTCTAGAATTTCGAAATTTTCAAAAAGCGGGCCGGCCCGCGGGCTGGCCATGTGTAATTTTTTCCGGCCTGGCCCCGGCCCGCTATCAGAAAATCTCAGCCCATCTTTTCCACAAGTATGAGAATTTCAATATCTTCTACAGGGAACGAGATTTATGGGCTGAAAGCTTACATATTTGGGTGGCATGCAATTAGAGTGTTTACGGTAAATCGGAAAAAATTCAATGATTAAAATTATGAAAATCGTTGAAAAACGGTAATACTAGATTTATGTCGCTGGATGATGCTCGTGGATCTCGCAAGTCTGTTAGTAAGTCAGTTATGTGTACGGTATGTTACATTACCAATGCTTTTAGCGTTATTTATTTAACTTTCTTGTTTTCGAATTTGAATATTTCGGAAGATTTCTTTCTTAGAAGTTTTCGATTTTCTTCGTATTCCATTTCAATACTAACTCCCGCACTTTATAACCAAACTGTTTTCCCATTCCAATTTCATCATCATTGTCAAATGGGTTCCAGAAGAATCTCCGTGATGTTCCAGTCATTTTTCAGCCATCATGATTCGTCTTTCCCATCTACTTCTCGTCTTTTCATCAGAATCACAACAATGTCCCATGTCTGCGTCTCTTCATCTCACCCAATCTCTAACCGAGTGGCACAATTTAAAATGCAAATTCGAAGCGGGGTGCTAGAGGTCCTTCGCTTCTCCCGCCCCGAAATTCTCACGTCCGGATTTGCGACGTCGGTGTTTATTGAACACGTTACAGCAGCCCCGTCGCTTCATCCAAGAAAGTGGTTCTTCCTTCTTTTTCTTTCTTCTGTCAACTTGGTCCTATTTTCGTACCGGGAGTGGAGGAGAATGAAGTCGTTAGTTCTCACATGCTTCGAGAAGACTTGGAAAACTACACTTCAATTCATCTCCTAACTAAACACTAGAGGACCCTGGTCTTTTCCTCGGAGATCAGTTTAATATAGTTCCGACACGCGATTACCTTGAAGCAAAGATCATGTCGAACATCTAGGATGAAATTTTTGAGCCAAAATAGCTTCGGAGAATGTCTAGTAGTTTTGGAAGAGATAACTGTGTAGGTGGAAATAATTTGCAGGTATTTTTCCAACTTTTCATGTTCTGAATTTTTGAACACAGGAACGGGATTTTTGTTCTTAGAAAGATATCCGATGTATTGCTATTTATAAATGAGTCTTGTTTTGATCATGTCTTTAAAGTTCAATTAATTCAAACTGAGGTAGGAAAATATCTTATTTTCTGTTATAAAAATATGATATAAGAGCTTAATTTTTTGAATATCCCAATCGAAAAAGTATTCTTTGTTGAATTTGAGAATCTTCTGGTAACATACAAACTTTCATATAGACGACTTTCCTAACCGAACATGCTCCACACCATAATCCGTTTCCGGTCACTTGTTTCAGGTGGTCTGAAAAATATATGTTCTGATTATAAAACCAGAACACAATATCTCCAACTGTAATACCTTTTTATATTAAGTTACATACTCTTTTAAGATCCTTTTCTTTGAAATTCGAACATTAGAACACTTGATATCCCACTCAAAGTGCTCCATATATAGCACAAACCCACTTGAAGAAAGCGATAACTACAGTGAATTTTTAGTAATTTGATACATTTTTAGTCATTTCAGCCCTTCTTTTGGCCCTTCTGCTCCTCTTCTTTCATCCCAAACAAATCTTTTCTCGGTGCAAGAGTATAACCGAAACCCAATGATGGGGGCCAAGAAGGCAACAATTTTTTCTTCTGTTGCCCTACGAGTTCTCCTCATGTTCTTTCTTTGCTTCTTTTCAATCGAAATCCTCCACAACTACTACTATTTTTACATCTACTATCTCTTTGAAATGATGTCATTCGGGTTTAGATTTGAAATCTCGAAAAAGTATAGATTTTTTGAGAAAAGTAAAGTTCAATGGGAACGAACCATCTTTCCTTCCACTTCGTCATCACATTTTCCTTTTGTCTACAAATCAAATTTTCACATCTTGCGTTTTTCCTCTTACTTGTTTTGTTTTTAAATCGTTCCTCTTCTTCTATTTTAAGACTACTTTATTCGCCTATTTTCCCAAGGATTTATCGTTCTGTTCCGTTCCTGATTCGTCAATGATGTGTTTCCAGGAGTAGGATGGGAATTTTTAAAAAGAAAATATACCGATTATCCGATGGCTATGATTTCATTTCTGTCTGTTTTCTTATAATCATTATCAGGACCCATTTCCTATAAATACTTCCTGAACTCTAAAAATTCAGAGTCATTCGATTTTCTGATTTAGTACACCTGATATTCCACACTTTTTTTTGCAGCGAATAGAATTAGATTAACCCGAATTCGCTAAATTTTATAGTCGATTCAATTAATCTCTGTGTGAAAAAAACGAGGAAAAAACGAAAGAAACCGAAGACCTTTTACGAGCAAACAACGAAAATTTGTTTCTTTTCGGAAATTTTGTTCTGACCTTTCTTCCGGCTTCCGGCTATTCCCAATCTATAATTATGCCTTCCAGTCGTCAACACAGATACTTTTCAGAATTCTTTATCAACAACTTTGGCCTTTTTCTGAAGATGTCTGAAGGAGTTTTTCCTTTTGAGTGAGGGGATTAGCTGTTACTTTTAGTTTGAAAAGATTTCGAGAATTGCGCTTCCAGGAAAAAAGATGACAATCTGTCTGAAAAAGGAATATCTGAAAATATGTTTTTTGATGAAAACATCTGTTTAGAATGTTGTGGTAAATGTTCATGATAGATCTGAAAAGGCTCGATTTCACCTGAAAAATATTCAGAGAACATTTTGAATATCACTCTGATCTAATTGCAATACGCATAAAAAATTGGGGAAAATTTGAGGATGGGCGGGGCTTAGGTCCGTTGACGAAATCCTCAAAGCCGCATTTGAATGATCATGTTATTTCGTAACTATTTTCTGGTCTATTTTTCGATAAATGTCATCGATTTTTTGAATTTTTTCCTCAGAAATCCGGCAATTTTAAACTTTTTCAGATAAAAATCTAAAAGATCGCAAAAATTGCATGCAGGCAATGAAAACTATTTAAAAAACTATGAAATTCATCGAAAAATCAAAAAAATAGGCCAGAAGATAATTACGAAAGTATATGATCCTTTAAATGCGTCTTTAAGGTCTTAATAGAAGGGCCCTCACACTGTCAAGTTTAAGCTCAATTATCACGATTTCTGTGAAATGATATAGAAAATACGTCAACGGATAAAAGCTTTGTGATATTTTGATAAACAATTTATTAGCAGACAACATATTCATATCTTTGACAAGAACCGAGATAAATTGGTTCAAAGTTAAAAGTTAGGACCCTTTTATTACAGGTTTTACGGTATCAATCTGTAGATTTCCAACTTTCCGATTTCAAATAAAAGATCCAATAAATGTTTCATGAAGTTTACCTAGATCTCCCAAAAAGGTTTGTTTGTTACTTGAAAGTTTTTCTATGCAAAAGTTCAAAAACAAGAATTCTATAAAGCCCTTCGTCTCCTTTTCTTGCTGTCGGCACAGCTTCAAAAGTCGCCCATCATCGGTCACAATTGCTCTTTGATTGTCACGTGTAGATGTCTATTTGAAGGTTTCGTCTTGTTTTCCTTTTCGACATGACCACCTCAAAAATATGTCGCTTACGTAGGCAATGCCGATTTTTGCTTATTCCACTCTTTTGTTCCTTCTCCTCGCCTAATTATCACTCAATGAATCTGTCCCGTTACAAGTATCCGTTTCATTCCCACAGATTCATCAAAATCAGAGTTGATTCTGAACTTTGAACATTTTCTCTCAGTTCATTTTTTATTTTTCTCCCCGTAGGACCATAAAATGACAAAATAAAGGCAAGTTCTCTCACTTTCTCTCCTCCCACTTTTTCCCAAAATATCCTCTTTATTTCATCTTCTTTTTTTCTCCTGTTTGCAGTTGAGATAATTCACAGCTCCTTCTTTTTTCTCTTTTTTTTCTAGATGAACATCTTTAATGAGGTTCCAAGTAAATGTAACACGATCAGTACAAATGTCTTGAATTCCATCTTGCTTTTTTTTGCAGGATGAGAAGAACTCTGAAAACGAATAAAAAGACTGGGTGGGGCTATAAGGAACCTCCATACATATATTGACAGGAACTAAAAAGAATAGATCTATGATGAAAAAATAAGACAACAACAACAGATTTATTGTATACTATTTTATTGCTACCACGAGTTTCAGACACGTCCGCCTTCTTCTTTTTTTGTGTTTTTTGTGGGCAGTCTGAACCCATTCCATTTCTCTGAAAGTTGCAGAATTTAAAGAGGAGTTCCAAGTTAACTTTGACACTTGTCAATCATATAGTCTAGTTCCAAAGGATCTTTGTTCCTGACTCGCGGACATCTGAACATTTCGAGAAATCTAAATTCTAAAGAAGCCACGTGCAGAGAAGGGACTGACGCAGGACCTTATTATAGGACTAATGTACTTCTTCTACGTAGATGAAATCAAAATAAGATTTTTTCTGCATAGCTGTCTGGACAACAATTTACAGTTTTTCAACTCCATCAAATCCCGGAAGTTCTCGGATCTTTCTTTCCGCGTCGGAGCCTTGATTACCTTCATTAAAACGGCTCATCTTCTTCTGTGTATCTACTACATTATTCGATTTCCATTCCCAAGTTCACTATAATCAGTTCCACTATTCAGTTTATCTTGTTCCAGCTTTTTTTTCCAGACGTCCATTTTCCATAGACCGGAACTTCGTCACCCTTCCTTTCCGTCGCCTTATCTCTCCGATCCTCAGTTTTTGCAGATTCTCATTTAGAATTTTCTAAACTCGATTTGGAGAAAAAGAAGTTTCCTGCCAACCTGAACTCGTTGACTCGAATCCGCTCAATCAGTTTCAACTCACCCAATGGACACATTTGTGTGTTTCATTCCTTTTTACTCCTGTCCCACTTCCTTCCGTCGTCGTCGTCATTTTTTTTTCCTTCTTCAACTCTTCTAAATTGCCTGAAACAAGTTTGGCGCCCAATCAAACAAATTTTCTCCTTCCTTCTCCTTCGCTTTTACTCTTTTTCCTTCTCAGGGTCCCACCCCGAGTCCATCCATTCGACACGGAAAACTCAATTTGGACATTTTTTCAAGATCAAATTTTTCCGAGATAGGAGAAGCGTCTAAAAAAAGGAATTCAAGTTCTTTGACCTTTTTCGATCCAGATCAAATTTCATTTCGAACAATGCACAGTATATTTATGCCACTCGTCAAAAGTCACATCACTTTATAGAAGCTCCATTTCCCAGATTTCCGATGATGGCATCTGAATCGGATGTTCTCTTTCAACTCAATATTAATCTGTTTGAACTTGGAGCCTAATGTTTCTTCAGATGCTCCTTCTGTTTACCTCCAGTATTCTCAAAACCTCTCTCAGTTTTTTTTCTTTTTCTCGCCCCTTCTTTCCTTTCCAGGAATACCCCCAATTTCACACTATCTCTTCTTCTTCTTCTTTTTTCTTATTTCATTCTTGAGCTTCTCCTCCCCGAACATAACTGATCATCACTCTGGGCTTGTGACCCTTTTAGGTAAGAAAGGAGCTCCTCCATTCTGCTCGCAGACCGCGTCTAACTGAATTTTCTTGAAGCTCCCGTGTCTCAGTTTCCGAAACCATCGAAACCCATTTGCATCCTGTCCCAACAACACACAAAGAAATTCGATTTCTTTTCCTCCAAAACCTTTCTTTCAATTGAAGAATGCTCAACATTTTCTCCTGTTTCGAACATTTTTCTTCTTCTCTATTTTCATTTCTTCGATTCTTCCAGAACGCCTTCTAAATGAACAATGGATTATGAAAGCACGTCGTCGTTCGACCCTGATATCGCTACAAATCTAACAGATCGTAAGTTGTTTTTTGTTGACTGCTTATTATTTTTGATTTCTATGGCAATGTCCTTCGAACAACAAAATCTCTTTTTTAGAAGAATCATGCGAATACATGGAGCCCGTCTACGTCAAAGAGCGCTTCTGGATGGTGGCGATTTTTGGAACAGCAGTGTGCCTTCTTAACATCATTGAGAACACATTTCTCTTGTTCATGTTGTTCAAAAAGTGAGTGTAAAAGTGAGACAAAAAATGAGCTTCTGAACACTTTCGACACCAATGGATTGAATAGGGCCAGCTGAGAGAAAAACTGGACAAAGGAAAACTAGAAAGATCTGTAAAAATTCTTGGTCTGGCCATGATAGTAGATCTGAAAAAGGGATTAAAACAGATTAGACCAAATATATTTGTTTCTAGAAAATCCTACCGATCCAGCCACATGCTCTACCTGGCTCTATTGGCATTCTTCGATGTTTGGATGGCTGTTGCCTACATACCTTTGATGAGTTTGAACCTGTTCGTCGACTACTATAAGTCTGTCTTCTTACTCCGAGCTTGGTTTGCCTATATGTTACCCATGTTCACAATATCCCATATCGCTATGACAGCTTCTTCCTTTTTGATGGTAAACAATAGAAGCTCAAAAATCGAAGAACATCTAGAACTGTTTCAGGTAGCCGCTTCACTGGAAAGATATGTCATAACTTGCCATCCAACGAAAACCCGCTGGCTATCCAGAAATCGAGTATGGATAGCAGCGTTTGCAATATTCCTTGGTGTCGCTTGCAAATTCTCTCTACTTTTTGAGATGGATGTAAGTTGTTATAATTTTAAGAAGAACCCATCTAATAATTTTTTTCAGATACGATACTTGCCCGAATGCTACGATACTATGGGAGAATACCAACTTGACCTGTCTCCTCTCGCTCTCCATGAAGTCTACTCATATTGGAAATCTCTCTTCCGAACCATCGTCACGATTCTGATTCCATTCTTTTTATTAGCCTTCATCAACGTCCGAATCGTGTTGGTGCTGTCGAAAAGTGAATTCAAGTTTCTGCACTCAACGAAATTGAGCGAGGCAAAGCGGAAGTCGGCGGTTAGAAACGCAACGAGAACTTTGGTTTTCATCGTCTTCACCTACCTTCTTTCGAATGTACTCAACGTGATTATCATTCTGTGGGAATACATTGACAAGAAAATGTTGACCCATCAATTCCAAACTTTCTACATGTTCGCTGTCGACGTTGTTTCTCTCTCCACAATTGTATTCGGAGCACTTCGACTTCCGATTTATGTCATCTGTCAGGCCAATCTCAGAAAGGAGTTCTTCGCTCAATTGAAGAAGATAATAACTCTGAATAGCTACTCGGTAAGTTAAGTAATTATTAACTGCTAATGCACTACTTCTTTTTTTTCTTCTATCCCTATTTTAACAGATCCACTAACATGTGAAGATGTTTCAGTTCAAACTTTGTTTCGTCATTTCCTTTTCCTATTTTTTTGCACATTTGCACATCAAATCCTATCAAATTATAGCATCATCTGATTTTCATCTTTTATTCAGGGTTATCTTTCCTCTCCAACCAAAAACATGACGGTCGAAGATATGGATATCGATCGAAGAACTCCTGAACCGTGTGAAGCTGGTGAGAGACAGTATCCGTTACTACTTTCGTTAGGTAGATTCCTTGGTTTCTCTAACACCTTCTCATAATACTTTTCTGTTCTAGGTACCGTCTTAATCGTGGAGTCTGACCAGAAGAACGATTCATCAAAGACTTGTACAGTAATCCGAAAGAATAGTGTCCATCGCTCAAACGGAGGCTTCACTGATATGAGCGAAAAAGTTCAAATTGTCTAAAATGCTGGTAGAAGATGAACAACTTTAACTTTTCAATTGTTCCTTTAGATCTCAAAGCCCTGTCATACTTTTCCTGTGCTTTAATCATTTCCTTCCCATTCATCCAGTTTTAACATTTTTCACGGGTTTCTTCTTCTCCCTCTTTTTCAACCCTTTGTGTCTTCGTCCTGAAAAAAATAAACTTGTGTGAACTGAAGCGATCCCTTTCGGCTTTGCATTCATGATATGAGAGAAGGTGGAGGATTACTGTACATCGGAGACAGAGGCAATGTTAGATTGTCCAAAAAAACATGACGAAGTTTTGGAGAGAAGACTGATCTTTGAAGTTTCCACGTTGTAACAGTATGGGTAAACATTCCAAAGCAACACTCTGGAAATACAGTTTTTCGAATGACTATCAGGAAGCTAAAAATACAGAATTTTTCCTGCTAGCTCATACCATTACAAGTTATGAACATAATCCGATTATCCTTCCAAGTATGAAACCATGACGTCCTGTCTTTTTATATTCTGACCGCCTGTAAATCCACTTTTTTCTCAAGATTCACAGTTCATGGTTACTTATTCCATACTGCATGACATCACTAAACGAAAAGGATTCGATAATTGAGTTCAAAATATGACCCATATAGAATCGAATTTAAAAGAATTTGATCTTGAATTGAACTTTTTGGATATCGAAATAAAATTCTAGTCTGAATATGGCTTGCCGAATAATACACGAATACTGAATCATTCGCGAAATGTTTCGAAAAAAAGTAATGTTGAGATTAAAAAAGATGAGTTGAGTCGCAAATCCACAACTTTGAATAAAATCTGTGTGAACTCTGATTCATCTTTTTCTTTTGACTTTGCATAAATTATGAAGGTGGAGGATTACTGTGGCAATGTTTGTGAGGGTCGGGTTTCGTCGTCGACGACGACGATCAATGCTGAAAATTCTGCAAATTCTGAAACGTCGAATAAAAGACAGCCAGGAAAGCGGAGGATCGAAACGAAACACACGCCGCACGTTTCCGGTTTGGTGTTAATTTGGATTTCAAAGAAAAAAAAACAGAATTGGGAGAGAATTGAGCGGCTCCGTTTCGACCTTGTTATCACATCACTTCATTTTTCCTGTGTGACTAAACACAAAACAAACCAATTGTGTCTGTTTTGTTCGTTCCCGGGGCCCCGCTTCTTCCCACTTGTATCCCATCTTTCCCCGTCTGGCGGCTCTCTCAAAGGCGGAGCAGCATCCAGTGGCTCACCTCTCTCTTCTTTTCTTTCAAGAGTGTCCCATCATTCTATCTCTGGGCTACCTTTATTCCGAAACCATCTACTTATTCCGAAACCTAGACCAACTTCCTCTTCCTTCCTCTACCTCTTCTATTCCTCAACATCATCTGAATTTGGAATGGAAAGTGATCCGGTGAGAGGGAATTGGGGAATGAAAATGACGATACCGGGAACTGTCCAGCCCGCAAAAAAAGTAATTTGTTTAGTAGGCCCCAAAAATTCTCGGAGATTACGATCGGCGGGGCGCGAGAAACACAAAAAGAGCGAAAAAAGAAAGGCACCAGGCGTTTTGAGAAGAAGTAGAAGACGCGAATCAGGGAGCGGGGCGCTGGGAGAGGGTATTGTGGACACGACACGTTTTTAGACATCCTCCCACCCGTGTCTTCTCCTATCTTCACACTCTTGTTATTATAACCTTTACTTTACTGCCTAACCTCATCTTCACACAGTTTTTCCCTCCATTGGTCCATATGATTATTGATCTGTCCGATTTGGACAAGCCAGTGGTAAGTTCCTTTTCTCAAATTCCCAGTGGTCAGAGCCTTGTCCAGTATGTTTGTCGACACTCTTATCACCAGTCATGATGTTCTAACACATTTGAACACCCGCCCACTTGAAAAGAGTTTTTTCGGAGAAAGACCGCCAAGCAGAAGAAGAAAAGACTGTATCAATGTACTGGTTTTGAATAATAGGGAGAATTCGCTGAAAAATGATAATCATGGGAATCTAGAAAAAGATGATAACATATCAGTTTTATGCAAAGAAAGTGTTCAGATGAAAAGTTTAAAAGTACTAGAGATGTCTGTAAGTTTATCCTCTTCATCCTTGATCAGAAATCTTTCTCGGATTTTGATGTTATCATAAAAAAGCACAGGATGTTCTCAGAAACCCAACTGTGATCATTCCAGACTAGACTTATTCTGCTGTCGCCAGTAGAATGCCTTTAAGAACTTTAAATCCTAGATGGCCGGGCCTGGCAGGACCGGAATTTAGCAAGTATGCTCAAAATTACACTTTTAAATCAGTGTGAAGTAGTATTTCCGCGCAGGGGCTCTTCTCCCCATTTCCTTCCACTCTCACAACAATAACTTTTCGTTGTAATAAACCTCAATTCATCTGTTCTTCTTCTTCAGAACGCCTCACAGCTCATCCATCAGGTACTTCATGACGCTTTCCTGGCCGCAGATCTTGGAAACTACACAGAAGCCGTCAATTTGCTCGATAAACCGCCTGCATGGCAAAGTGAGTGTGTACACCATTTGCATGGAACTTTTCACATCTGGAAGTGATTGATCAGTTTTATTAGTTTTACCGCAAAGTGACTCAACGATGCTGCTAGTTGTTTTCTCTTTTCTTTTTGCTTTCTTCTTTTCTTCTTTTGTTTGATCCATAAAAAAATTGTACGAACCGATCGGCGAAGTTCAGAGGCAAGTGAAAAAGAAATGAGATTGAAACATCGAAGCTCTCCGAATTTTTAAAGTTTCTAAAACCACATCTTCTAGATTTTTATCTCTTTTTTCTACTCTTCTGAAACCCATAAATTTAAAGTGACTCTCTCCGAATAAAAGTTACATAAACAGTAGTCAAAAGTGAAATAGTTAGTTGACCGGTGACGCGATCTCTATCGAACATGTTCCTCACTTCCTCACTGGACTTTGTACGAGTCAAAAATATGACGTGTTGAGGGAAATTAGATGGAGAGGGAGATTTGAATGAGTTACGATCTTTTCAGCGTGGGGAATCGGTTTCGCAATTGTATCGGGATGCAGTTTCTCAGCTCCTCTCGGGATTCTTCTGCTTCCTTGTTTATCAAAATCACTTTATGAGAGAATCATGACATTTCTTGTTGCTGTTGGCATTGGTGCATTATCTGGGTCAACTATTTTCATTATGCTTCCACAAGCATTTCATCTGACATCATTCGAGCATTTCGAATATCATACAAAATCCCTGATCATTCTTTGCGCACTCTATGCATTTTTCACTGTTGATCGAATGTTACAGTATATTTTGGAATTCAGGTTTGTTAGTTTTCCTTATAAAAACATTCCGGTGGTGACTTTTAAAGATTCTGATTCGTACCGATACGGTTCGACCGTTACACTTCTATTTGAAGTAGTCGCAGATGACTTTAGAAGATAACGCAACCTTCAAACGATCAAACAACTTCAAGCGAACTTTTTTCAGGAGACGTCGTCAAACGAAACGAAGGATTCATGCATCAACAATCGCTTCATTAATGAACACCCCAACTGCTAAAAGAAGAGAAAACGGTCACAATGTGACGGAAGAAACGATAGTGCCATCGGAACCACCGACGCTCACTCATTTGCAAGTCCCTGATCTTCATAATCATCACAGATTTCGACGAGAGTCGGAACTATCAGATGTTGAGAGGACAGAGCAACAAGAAAAAGAGATGGCTGAATTAGCAAATGATTTGGAAATGGCATTGACAAATAACGTGCTGGCTAGAACGGTCAGTTTTAGATATTGAGTCAGGGATCTATATTTCTTCCTATATTCAGTTTTCCACACGTCGTAGAGTTGCTGTTGTGAGTGGAGGACTTGATGATATTGAATTCAGAAGTCCCAAACACTCCCATCACACTAATGGAAACACTTCTCAATTTCTGGATGTTATCAATAACGAATTCCATAGAAGGATGACTCCTTTATCATCTCGACCTGGTAGTCCCGTTGCTATAAACATTGAAGAGCCAAAGGAAAGCTACGAAATGAAACCGAAATCTGAAAAACTTCCAAATGGCGCTCAGGACGATGGCGATGCAATGTCAGTTTCTATCCGAGTAGTTGAAAAGAAAGTGATCGAACCAGCAGCAATGGAAGTGGCCTCAGTCGCCTACATGATCATTTTTGGATCTTCAGCGAATAATTTTGTGGATGGGATGAGCATGGGAGCGGCATTTTCTGATAATCTATTACGTGGGCTCAGTATTGGAGTTGCTGTGGTATCGCAACAGTTTCCACAAGAACTCGGAACACTTGCGATTCTAATTAAATCAGGATTAGGACTCAAAAAGACACTTCTATTCAATATGGTTCCGATTGTTTTAAGTTTTCTCGGATTCTCTGTTGGCGTGATGTTGGATAGTGTGGATGATTCATATGACGAATACATCTTTGCCATTTCTTCTGGCATGTATATGTACATTTTCTTAGGAACTTTGGTATGCAGCTAACTTTGGAAGGCATCCTAATTTTTGTGTTTTCAGATTCCCGAAGTTCGAGAGTCGACGAATGAATTAATCAAGGAAAATTTTGCGGAGAGTATATTGGTTTCAATTCTACAGGCAGGTGGCATTCTTTTTGGAACCACTTTTATGTATTTCATGAGTCGGGTGAACTCTGTTGATTTTTAAGCAGTATCTGCTTTATTTTTTTCTGTGTCAATCTCTTTTTTCTCCCTCTCTCTCCATCCCCGCTTTGTTATATACTGTACGGGTTCACTAGTTTTTGTAGTATTCTCGTTAAATCTTCTATAAATATGTCAACGTCATTTTTTGAAAAACAGCACCTATTAAAAGAGAAAACAACATAGACACAACAGCAATTATATATTTACATGCGAGTGCACTTATCAAGCCCGTTTTCTAAAGGTGAGATCTTGTCGGTTGGCACTTTTTCATTCTCCGATTCTGCTCCACCAATCGCATTCTTCATTTCTTCATCTCCTACTCGTTCTGGTACTACATTGAAAATAATTTGCATGAACTTAGTAGTCTCTTCTGAAAATATTCCCTAATTCTAGTCATTCCGAAACATAAAATTTTTACCATTGATACTATGAGAAGCGTTTTTGAAAGCTTCCACAGATGGAAGAGCACGATCCCACACAAAAATTATAAAGATGATAAGTCCTCCCAGAAGAATTCCCAGTCCAACAGCTGATGATTTGAATTCATCGATAATACTGATAACTACCATTGATGTGCATACGAAAAAGAAAAGAATTGGCATAATGATTGGAAGTTGAATACGATCCGGATGACGTGGACGGCCTCTGAATCTGAGGTAGAGAAGAGCTGACATGGTGAACGCTCTTTGGGACCATTGTGCAAAAGCCACGTAGTTGATCAACTTGTCCGGGTCTCCCATGAAGGACACCGCCATGGAGATGAGGATCTAAAAATTAGGGAATTTCGAATCTAACTATAAGCAGTTAATGAATAAAACTTACATGAACGAGTAAAGCTACTCTCGGAGAATCACATTTTGGAGCGATTCCTGATATGGCGCTAGGAATGTGTCCTTGTCTGGAGACAGCTTGAAGGTATCTGGAACAGGCACAATAGGTAAAATTTGGACACAGTGGGCACTGAAAATTACCTGCTAGCCGAGAACATTGTGCTGTTCAATGATCCGACAAGAAGGATTGCAACCATCACAGGCATCACAAAAGCAGCAGTTCCTAATGTTTTCTTTGCAAAATCAATGGCTACAGCATCAGATGCACCCATCTCTGGAAGAGATAGAACGACACTGTAGGAGATGTTGACTGCCACGTAAATCACTCCGATACATGTCATTCCAATCACAATGGACAGCGGCATTGTGCGTTTTGGGTTCTCGATTTCTTCAGCTCCAAAGTTTAAAATGTCCCATCCATCATATGAGAAAAGACCAGCAAATAGAGCATTAACAAATGGTCCAGGATTCCAATGAGATCCCGTAAACGGGGCTTGCAGATTTTGATTCCAACCTTTGAAAATGAGAAAGTAGAATCCAGTGATAATAATAAGAAGTGTTGCAGCAATCTTCGCAATTGAAGCCAGAATCGAAAAGCGTTGGACGAAAGTTTTGAGTGAGAAAAAGTTCATAAACATCAGAAGCATGATCAATGAGAATCCCAAAAGTTTCTTGGCCCAGAACTCGGAAGTTGAATCCAATTCCACCCCGGCTCCCTGAAAAACGAAAATCAATCTGAAGATTGCACTTTCTCTTTTTCCAAACCCGAAACACATATTCAGCGAATGTTTGCGCTTGGACAGCCAGTGTCGCCGGATAGTTGATAGTACAACCAATGCACATGAAGGCAAAGGCGACTGGATACCTGAAACATCAAAGAACTGGTCAAAATGTTTCTGAAAAGTGTGAATTTCACATGCCATTTCATGAAGCAAAGGTATGCAAAATCTCCACCGGAAAGACGAATTGAAGTACCAAGTTCGACATAGCAAAATGATCCAAGCATTGAAATAAGAGCCGCTAAAATCCAGATGATGAGTGAGAGACCGACCTAAAAGTTTTCGGTGATTAGGGAAAAAAATTCAAGAAATGCAGAGAGATATGTTACTCCTAGAATTCATTTGGTAATTATTCTGCATGCATTAAATTAAAAGAAAAATACTCACCGATTTGACATTTTTAATAATGGAGGTGGGTGTGATGAAGATTCCGGACCCGACGATATTACCCACGATATACGAAATGGCGCCTAATAGGCCCATTTTCTGGGAACGGGAGTCATCGGGCATTTCTGCAGGGACTCCTGAAATTCAAGAATTTTATGATAAAACAAACAGTAGTTGGTCAAATGTCATTGAAATAGAAAAACGACCTGATAAAGCAACTAAAACTTTTTGAGTTGAAAAGGAAGCATGACTTGAACTACTACTATTCATCGAACTATCATCACTTTCGGTAAAAGGCATTTTGTGGGAATTTTGAAAATAAGATTACCCGAAAGGGGATGACTTTTCAGTTGATGCGTGTTGAATTCGTACGTCAAGACGAAAAAATCTATCACATGCCTCCGGAACAACGAATTAGTGCAATCAGCAGTACGATTAGTTATCACTCCCAGGAGCGCAAAATTTTTCAGGGTGCATTTTGTAGTGGGTACTTGGTCGATGATTTAGTATTCATGATAGAATTTATACTAAATATCATCAATCTGGAAACTAGTGATAAGAAGGTTCAAAATGATCTAGCCCATTTTTTAATATTTTTCGATGATTCTTGAGTATAAATTGTTCTTTTCTAAATCGAAATCAGCACAATTCAACTAACGTAAAGTCTGTAATAGAACGGTCCCTCAACTTTTAACTTTGAGCCGATTTATCTCGGTTCCTGTACAAGATATAAAGAAGTCGTCATGTGATAAATTGTTTATCATAATATCAAAAATATTTTAACAGCTTACTAGGGAATTATCTGAGCATCATTCCAAGTAACACTTCATGACCTATATCATCAAAATGCCCATGAAATTCTGATACTGAATATGTTTTTTGTTTTTGCGAAACGATGGTGAGCTGCGAGAAAGTTAGGTCAAAATATAATTTTCAGTTGATTTCTAGACTGTGTTAGGCTTTTTAAATTTGAAATAAATATATCACGTGTCTCGCGTCGATTTTCAATGCAAAATGCAGCCTAGACATCAACTGAAAATTATATTTTGACCTAATTTTCTCGAAGCTCACCGCCAAAAACAGAAAACATTTTCCGAATTTTAACAATATGGCGGGCTCTTATATTACAGGTTTTACGGTGACTATCGGAAAAATGTGAGCATGCAGCATTTTTTGATAGATCAGTTTCCCTGAAGTATCTACGTCCGCGGCAATTTTATAGTTTTTTTTTCCAACAATGAAGTTGTTAAACATTCCAAGAATTGGTGAGCAGTAATTTTATATTGAAATTACATTTCAGCAAAAAATGTTTTTCGTTGAAGAAAAAGCAACTGAAGCTTCAATAGAATAGATACAACTTTTAAAAGTACCGGATACGCTCTGATATGTAGAGGGATACCCAAGCTTTAAATTTTTCAAACCATATATCTCCTAGCTTGAAAAAGATATCCAAATTTTGTCAATGGATAAAATCTTGAGGATATTATAATAAACAGTTTATTAGTAGATCACATTTTGATATTTTTTATAGGAACAGAGATAAACTAGCTCAAAGTTGACGGTTAGGGTGGCACTCTATTAGTATTATTACGGTATTTTACGTTATCTCAACTTCCAGACTTCTACTTGTCTACAAGTGTTTGGCTAATTCAGAAAATAGCTGTTCAAATTTTACAATAACCCAAAAGTTAACATATAAGAAGATAACCAGAAAAACAATTAAAGAAAAATGGTGATTTCAAAAACTATCCCTAAAAAAGTGAAAACAAAGATCAGTCGATTAGAAATATAAAACTGAAATTGGTCTAGATCGAATGTTTCCACTTTTTCATATCAAAAAGAGGTCTTAAGTATCTATAAAACCCAAAAAATACATTTCAAGAATGCAATAAATTCATGTGTTAAATGCAACATAAAGGTGCTAAAACAGTGAAGTTAAAACCACGCGAGAACAAGCGGTAGGTGATAAGAAAAGGAGCCATCTCGACACGAATTTCCAATTTTTCGGTGATAAAGTACATGTGTAAGTCGGAGCTAAGCACCCAACTGCGTGGTGTTATCAATTCCTGACCAACGGTTGCCTGTCGATTAGTAGACGGAAATTTTAAAGAGAAAGGAAGAAGAAAGAAAAAGAAGCAAAAGAATAAATGAAGGATAGTGAGCAGTTGATAAGCTGATATTCAAATAGAACCACTCACCAAAACAACTCATCGACATGATTCGACAATTAGAACAGGAACAAATAGAAATGTACACCACATGTGGAATGAAAATAATAGGCGAGGAGATCAAAACATTTTGAACTTTTTTGGTCACGAATCAGTTTCAAAAAGGAAGATAATCCAGATTTGCCTGTAGTTGTATGATTGTTTTCCATTTTAAAAAAAGGACAGGTTTTGTTTTTTTTTTTTTCACTTGCTAAAGAATAATACAATGAACACTTTATTTAACATTTTATTTCAGATGTCAAACTTGATTTTTATCCACTAATGTAGAATTTCCAGGAATATATCGATACTCGAACTCGAAAATTGGAGTTTTCGGATCTCCATACTTCACAATTACAAACGGAATATTTGTGGAAGATCGTGTTTTGTTCCACAGGTTGTCATTATCACAGCATACCAATGGGCTGACAATTCTTCGGTCCGTTTTGTATTTCAATTCAACTCCATTATTATCACAGAAATCATGACAATGAAATCCGTAAAGCTTTGTGATTCTGACCTCGATTGTTGAACCTTCCGGGGCCTAAAGTATAGATATTTTCTGCTGAAATATGTATATTAGTTTTACCATGATGAGAACTTTGCTATATTGTGGCATAGTGTTAATGTGTATTCCTTTTAAATTTATAGTTTTAATGTAACTGGCTTGCCATTCTGTTGACGCATTGAAAACAGTTCCATCTGGTTGATCGCACAATTGTCCCTTGAAACCATCAGTACAGAGACACTCATTACAATTTGCTGGATTTTGATATCCCCCATTTTTACAATCAAGTTTTTCTGGATGATTATCACAGTTGCATTCGTAGAACGAATTGAGGAGAATCATATCGTAGAATGCGACACGAAGGCTTCCCATTGTGTAGTTGTATTCGGGATCTTTAGGCCAGCGAGTATGACTGAAAATCAGATCCAGAAAAAAGGCATGAAAGTAAACTAACTCTCGCCAATACAACATCACACTACCGTAATCAAATGGCACTAGATTCACAGTGTTTTGTATATTGTCGTTGTGATCTTCAGAATTCACAAATAGATAGGCATCTCGATCTGTTCTTGCCTGACTATGAGCTATTCCGAGAGCGTGCATTATTTCGTGTACAGCTACTCCGAACTAAAAAGTTGAAAGTTTTTGCTTGTTGTTATTTTTATGCACCCACAGCTGCACAATGGTAAGCGAAAGCCAGAGGTTGATGTCCACCTTCCATTCCAAATTGTGACCAGCAAGAAGTGTCGAGTCCAATTTCAACTGCATTCTCCGCTTCATTGTTGTAATAAAAATTCAAGCACGTATGATTGCTCAGATATCCGAAAGCGTCTCGGAACATGGCTTGCATTTCCAGAGCTAAAAGAATTTTTAAATAATGATGTTAATACTGAATATCGTTACGAAAATCATCTTGGTAATAGTAGTTTATTGTGTTATCAGTCCACTTTGAGTAATCTAGTAAGCCCTGGCGTTTCACCCGAGTTCTGAAATCAATAACCGTGATTTTGAAAAGCTTCACATACTCACCTGCCCTCTCCAGAAGCACAAGCTGCAGTCACAGCAAGTAGAAGCAGAGTTAAGATCAATCTCATGGTTGAGTTGACTGAAAATGGCTCGTATGGATTGGTTTTATAGGCAGAATTTGTTCATGAGTCATTTTATTATAATAAAAGAAAACAGGAAAAGAAGTGGATTGTGTTGCAAAGATTATAAAAACCCATTGGTTCCTTTCATTTTATCATTGAATAGAAGTGTTATATACTTCCATATGCCATCATAAAAACAATATAACAACTACGGTATCTGCGGTGTTGACTCGTTTCGGAAGAGGAACTCAAAGTTGTGATAAAAGTTTATACCGAAAAACCTGTAATAGAAGGGCCCCCACATTTTCAAGTTTAAGCTCAATTATATCAATTCTTATGCAAGAACATTTGTCAATTTACAAAACGCTTCTGATGTTATGATGAACCAGCAAGCTGGTGCGCTTTCGGCGCGATTTAACCCAGTTTTTTAACTGGTTGGTTGCTCCGCTTCTTGTTTTTTCTCAAAGGGTCCCGTAAATCCATATTAATTTTTCAACTTTTTCAAAAGTCAACAGAGTGGCACCGGGACCAACAGACGCGTGTAGCGTTTTATATATAAGGAAAATAATTTATCAGTTGACAACTTTATTACATCTTGCACCGGAACAGAGAAAAAATAGTTCAAAGTTGAAAGTTAGGGGTCCTCTCTATTACAGGTTTTACGGTATGTAGGCGTGAAAGTAATGTGAGTTAGGCATGATATCGAGAGGAAGCGTTTGAATTATAACAAATGAAATTTCGAAATCTCAAGAATTAGTTTTCAAAAAAAAAACAATACAGTAACAGCAAAGTTCGAAAATTTTTGGATTGGCACTATTTCCACACTCCCAATTCTGCACTGATTTGCCTATTGATGCGTTTTATGTTCCAGAAGTATATAATGTGGTTCAAGAATGTTTAAGCGATTCAAGAATGTTTAAGCGATTTACGAATTAAAGGTGCACTACAGAAATTTTGGCTGCCGTGGCCGCAGTAAATTGCGGATTTATCTTTCTTCTGAATAACCTCATAATATGCATGCTGAAATACATGAAAGACTTGAAATCAACATTTTATTAAAGTTAACATTGAAAATTGATCAAACTGTGTTCTTCTCAATTTCCTCGGTCGAGTTTCCTGGCACATATCGGAACTCGAACTTAAATTGAGTTGTTCTTACATCTCCGTAATGAGCAATCACAAATGGATTATTTGTGGAAGAGCGGGTAGTATTCCACAGATTATCATGATTACAGCATACCATTGGACTGACAATTCTTCGATCCGTTTTATATTTTAGCTCTAGTCCGTTATATTCGCACGATAGTTTACAATCGAAACCATTAAGCTCTGTAAGCTTGACTTCGATAATAGATCCTTCTGGCGCCTGGAAATGGATTTGAAACTCGAATAAATCCTGAATACAACTTTCTTACTGTCACATGTGTGAACCTAGTTGATGGCATTGTGTTCCTAGGGATGCCTACATGTTCAGGTGGCGCAAAATAAGCAAAATGCCATTCCGTTTTTGCCTCGATAACAGACCCCATCAGTTCTTCGCATAACTGTCCTGTGAAACCATCAGTACAGAGGCATTCATTACAATTTGCTGGATTCTGATAGCCCCCGTTTTTACAGTCAAGCTTTTCTGGATGGTTATCACAGTTGCAGTCATAATATTGATTGAGCATAATCATATCGTAGAATGCGACACGAAGGTTACCCATTGTGTAGTTGTATTCGGGATCTTTAGGCCAACGGGATTCACTGCAAATGAAAATCAGAAGAAAGAGGCAGGAAAAAAAACTAACTCTCGAAAATACAACATCACACTTCCGTAATCAAATGGAACTGAATTAATAGTGTTTCGCGTTTCATCGTTATGATCCCAGGAATCCACAACAATGTATTCATCCCGGTCACTTCGAGATTGGCTGTGAGCTATTCCAAGAGCATGCATGATCTCGTGAACAGCTATTCCGAACTAAAAAAGGTCCATTGACATTTTAATGATTATCGTATTTCTTACAGATCCACAGTAATACCCAAAACTCAGATATTGTTCAACGGTCTGCATTCCCAATTGCGATTCACATCTGACTCCAGTATGAATTCTCACAACATTTTCAGCACCATCATCATAATTGAACTTTAAGCATGTATGACTTCTGAGGTAATCAAACGCATCTCGGAACAAGGTTTGAAATTCGAGAGCTAAAATTTTATTATTATGAGTAGTTGTTTTGAGTTTGATGATAACATTACGTATGTCGTCATAATAATAATTGAGAGTCTTGTTTGGCCATTTGGAAACATCGGCCAATGCTTGTCTTTTATCTCGATTTCTGGAAAACATTTTTTAAATATAATTTTAAGAAAGAGCATTCACCTATATATCCCCAAAGTTCCAGAAACCGTAAAGGTTATTAGCAGCACCGATAAAACGAACCTCATTTTTGAAGTTACTAAAAACCAATTAGTTGTTTTTATACCGAATTTCAGAGTGACACCTCTGAAACTGAAAAGTCTGAAGTTTTGTGTCTGAACTTTTGAAATTAGAATCAAAATGAAACAGTTCTTTTCAACACTTTTTGGCGCTGTATTCATCTTTTATGTGCTCACTGAAAGACACTTTTGTCATAAAATGAATGTAAAACTACCGTTTTCCGGGCTGCACAGTAATACACTTCTGAGATGTTACTTTTTTATGTACTACTCATAAACATTGTTGTGCCAGTATGTGTTGCAAACGCGAGATACATGCTGAAAATAGAAACTGATGGAGATCTTTGTCAATCTGCCATTGGAATCGGTAGTTAGGACCACTTGTTCAAACTTTCGGATTCTTGTAGCACTGTTGGAACAGTAGTTCATGAACTTATACATGCACTGGGGTTCCTTCATTCTCATCAGAGATTGGATCGTGATAAATACCTGAAAATGAATTCGAAGGAATCGAGAAAAAATAACGCTTTTGATATGATGCAGTATATAAAGTATCCGGACCAACTACTCTTGGTACCGTATGATTATGGAAGCGTTATGCAATATTTTGATGATGCGTGAGTGATAAGGTTCTATTTCCAGAAAAAAAATCGAGTTTAGCAAAGAATACGAACCTAGAGATCCAAGGTACATTCGAACAATGGGATCGGATATTGTCTCGTTTTATGACTACCAAATGATAAATAATCATTACGGATGTTACTGTCCGAAAGAAACTGAAATCTAATGTAAAAATTTTGGATATCCAAATCCATCAAACTGTTATCAGTGCAACTGTCCTTATGGATATGGAGGAGATGACTGTAGCCAGCGTGCCGAACCAGGAGAAGATCTTGAAGCATCTATTGAATGGAAACATGTAACAATAACTTTGGATGCTGGCTAAAAAACTTCATTCAATGGGAAAAAGTATCGCCAGGTTGATCACATATATCATTTTCTTTGGATTATGGTAGAATTTGATACGAAAATTTTTCAAAATTTATTTAATTTTCAATTCAGGCTCCTGCTAACAAAACGATTGAAATCAAAGTTGATGGCTTTTCTGGCGTACAATGTGGATTTGGATGTATGAATGGAGGGTTCGAAGTCAAAATTCTAGAAGATCCTAGAATGACAAGTCCGCGAGCATGTTGCAAAAATTTATCGTTCGAAGAATAACCCAACAATTGTGATGCTCTATAACTCAGAAGGTCTTGATGAATATAAATTGTCGTATAGGTTTATTGACTGAAATATAAAGTAAAGTAATGTTCAATGATTTGTGTTTTAGCTCGTTTCTTTTTTAGCACAGAATAACACTTCCAGTTGTTTGCTTGCACTTTTTTTGCAGTTGAAAATAGTAACTTTTTAAAGTCTAACACTCTTGCGTGCAACGAAGCTTTGGAGAACGATTAACAAAGAAAATACCGTTTTCCGTCCAACAAAAGCCTACTCTGATCGTCCATTTTGGGCTCAATCATCTCGATTCTTGTGAGAGATATCAAAATAAATTACTTATCACAATGTCACCAACATTTTATCAGCTGACAAATTTTTGATGTCTTTCACAGGAATCGAGATTCTCTGAGCTCAAAGTTGACGGTTCGGGTGGATAAACAAATCTTATTTTTCGACCAAAGAATTTAAGCTGACACCTGGTAATTTTCTATTATAGAAAGTTATTCGTATACCGTATTTTCTCTAGTAGAAGCCCACCATAACCGTCAACGTTGAGTTATCTAGATTCCTGTAAAAGATATCAAAATTTTATTAACTGATAAAATGTTGGTTATATTATGATAAATAATTTATCGTTTGACACATTTTTGATATCTTTCCTAGGAATCGAGACAATTGAGCTCAAAGTTGACGATTCGGGTGGGCTTCTTGTAGAGGGAGTACGGTATGTAGACCATTAAAAATTAGATATAAAATCAGATCCATCATACATTTTTTCTATGCGACTTTATGAAAATTTTGAACAACTTATTTTTCCAAACAAATGGGCCTTTTTTCAGTTGTTCAACAAACCATTCCGTTTTTAATTTAATTTAATTTGTTTATTGATCAGGTGTAATAAAACATTAGAGGGCAGGACATGAAAGACTCAGAAAAAAAAAATTTTTCGTTCTTTGTACTTATTGAATAGTATTTCGTATTCTGTCATATAACTTTTATTATCTACCTCCTCAAAGGAGTTACTGTTTTCATAAAATGTAATTAAGAACGAAAAGTGTCTTACTGTATTTGAACAGTCATGTTTCGATCACTTCTTATTTCGATTCTGTTGATTCATGATATTTTTTCGGAAAATGTAGTTTTAAACTTCGGGAGCCACAACAAACATTCTCATGGGAGCCGAGCTAAACGACAAGTCATAATACGAGGAGAAGATCAGGACCAATACAAATGGCCCAATAATACTGTGCATTATTACTTTGATGAGGAAAACTTTGGTTAGTTCCCTTTGTGTCTTTTCATTCAAGATAAGATTTCAGACTTCTCAATGAAAGAAACAATCCTTCAAGCGATGAAAATGCTATCTTCGCATACTTGCATCAAATTCTCTACTGAACCTTCAGACGTCATCATTCGAATGGAGAGCGATTCAGACAGGAATTACTGTTTTTCCGAAATCGGACATGTCCGGGAAAACCAACAATTTAGTTTTACATCTAGTTGCTACTCCGTCGGACTTGCTGTTCATGAGATCATCCATAGTTTGGGATTCATGCACGCTCATCAGAGAGCCGATAGAGACGAATATCTTCATTTTGTGATGGATTTAGATGGAATGTCTTTGCAAGACAGACAACAATATGCTATATGGGAGCATCAAATCCTATTGGTTCCGTATGATTATGGCAGTGTTATGCAGTATGCTGATGCAGAGTTTGTTTAGTTACCTAACAGATAAAGGGAATTAATTGAATTACAGTGATAACTACTTTCCAATCAATAAGAATCGATTTATGTATCAAACGATGGGATCAGAAGTTGTTGCATTCTATGATTATCTAATGATCAATAAGTACTATGAATGTTCATGTGGAGATGATGCACTGAAATGCCAGAATTTTGGATACCCCAATCCATCGAATTGTTCTCAGTGTAACTGTCCTTACGGATTTGGAGGTGATGATTGTAGTCAACGAGCAGAACCTGGAACTACGCTTCAAGCAACAAAGGGGTGGAAAAACACAACTATCTCATTAGATGCAGGATTCAAAGATGTTAACCATTTAAGAATGAGGCAGATAGATTACATTTATAGTTACTTGTGGATAACGGTATGGTTCTTATGTTTTACATTAAAACCTCCCAATTCCAGGCACCTGAAAATAAAACAACCGAGATTCGTGTGCTCCAATCCGAATCAGGAAAATGTCTCAGAGGTTGCGGTAGAGGTGCGATTGAAATAAAGACAAACGAGGATCCCAGACTGACAAGCCCTCGTTTCTGCTGTAACGAATCGAAAACCGTTAGATCCAGTCATACTCCTACAGTAGTGATGGCTTATAACTCTGAAGGACTAAATGAGTACACAATTGCTTATCGTTATGTGGACACATATCAATAAAATACATTCATTTTTCAATGTTTGCTCTTCTTGGATTGATCGACTTTTTCGCCCCGCCCACTTTACACAGAAAACATAGTGATGCGCGGAACCCGTGAGATGTCGGTTCATCGCCCAAATGACCCTCCATCCCTTCTTCACCTAAATTAGCTTTGCGCTGGGGCGATAACGTGACCAATGAGGCTTTGCCGAGGTGCGTTTATTGCTGGTTGAAAACTTTTCCCAATTGCCCGCGATGTCCCCTGAAACATGGGTGACATACGCAATTTTTGAACGCCTCTAGGAGGCAGCAGAACTTTTTTTCAGGTGGTTTGTAAATAGCAGGCTCTTATGTCCCACTGGATGGTTTGATTCCTGACATCTTTCCGCCTCTCATTTGCTCATTTTTTTCGTAAATACCACTTCGACGACTACAGACCCATTGACAAATATCCGACTCCGAAAGCTACATTATCTTTTGAAAAACGCTGTAGTTCCTTTCCCCGGAATAGAGGGAGGAGTCAAGGGGCGGAGCCTAAATTGTAAACATGGCACGGTTTTTCTCATGACTGTATGCAATTTTGTTTTTAAAACTGTGCGGCTGAACCATGCCAGGCTTGCAATTTAGGCTGCGCCCCTGACTCCGAGCACAGAAAATGTTTTCCTCTGAGATTATGAAGCCTCCAAGTCCGGAGACCCCGCGAATTCCGGGGAAAATTTTTCCTTGGAAATGTGGGCGGAGTCACGGGCAGGAGCCTAAATTGCAACCCTGCACAGTTTCGCCGCTTGGTTTATTAGCACATTTGGATATGGTTATGAGAAAAACCGTGTCAGGGTTGCAATTTTGGCTCTGCCCCGCGACTTTCCCAAAAAAAATTCTTTCCCGGAATTTGCGGGGTCTCGATTTGTCACTTCGGCAGGCCGTGCGTCCGTGTTTCTCGATGCATTTTTTCTTCACCACCGCCCCTATTTGGAATGCAATTGTAAGGAACACTCCCCAATTTTTAATTCCCGGTCAATTTTCTACTCTAATCCAATCTTCCATCACCCGGTTTTAGTGTCTGCTTACCTTTTCACCTCTCTTAATATCTTGCCAACCTTACATGTCTACTATTTTCTTCCCCATTCTCTAGGTTCATCTCGTTAGGGATTTTTTCTAGAACTTCCGTTATAACTTTTTGTGCCATATTTTCTTCTGCTCAATAAATTATTATTATAATGACTTATTTAATTAATTATAATGAATTATTATTAATTATTATTTTTAATTATTATTATTAATTATTATTGAATTATTATTTGAATTATTATTATAATGAATTATTATTATAATGATGTTGTCAGTAGAATAAAATGGATTTATTTTTTGGTTTCTTGTAAAACAGAGAGAGAAAAAAAAGATTTTTATAGACAAGTAAGACTAAGATTCAAATCGAAAAAAATCAATAAAACAATTAATAAGTAGAGCCACATGTTTCTTGAACCAGCTTCTCGACAGCGACACATTCCGCATGGAACATAGTTTTCTCTTGCCCAATTTCAGCAATTTCCATTTCAACTGCTTCCACTTTCTGGCGAATTGCAGAGCGCAAGTATTGGGTTTTCTCCTCCGCTTCCTTCTCAATCTTCGCCATTTTATCCTTCTCCTCCTTGATTTCTTGCTCCAGACTGCCATCCAAATGAAGTTTCTTCATTAACACCTCCTTCTCGTTTTCCAGCTCATCGTATCGTTTCTCCTGCTGCTGACGAGCCGCCTTCCATTCGTCTCGTTCGGCACGGCGCGTTCTCTCGTCGCGCCCCTCTTTTTTCTTTGCCTCGCACAACATTTCGTTCTCGATTTGGATTCGTTCTCTGTAAAAATTACATAATGAAGCTGGAAATGGAAATGTGAATTTGTGCACTTACTGCGCAGCGGCAAACTTGTCGGCAGATCTTGATTTCTCCGTATCCAAATCTAGTTTTCTTTGGTGCATCTGACGGCTGATTTCTGTCACCCAGACGGTATTAAGAGTCTCCCAACACACTTTGAGCTGCTTCTCATCGGCTGGCACTGGCATAGGATCGAGATTCAGCTGAACGTTTAGGCCGGAGAGGAGCTTGGTGATGTTCTCAATGATTTGCAGGAATTTCGCTTTTTGCTCCTTGAAACTATCGTCATTTTTCATCCGCCACATTTCTTTGGACACTTCATCTAACTCCGCTTGCAACTCCGCCACCATCTCCTTATCCTTGCTATTCTCCAGATTCATCTGACGGACTTCTTTTCCACTGCATCCATGGATCATCTTCTGTTGCTCAATCCGATCCTTCAACTCGTTCACCATACGCAACAGCTTCTCTTTCTCCAACACTTTGGACTCCAGCTCCCCTTTCACTTTAACCATCTCAGCATCCTTGTGCTCCTTGACACGTTCAACTGAGTCCAAATACTCGGCAGCTTTGCGAATATCATCTCTCATTCTGGCGATATCCTCCACATACGTCTGCTCTTGTCCTCTCTCCGATTCGATTTCATCGCAATCGAAAAGAAGTTGTTGAAGAACGTTTTTCGCATTACTCGCCACATCCTCGTATTCATTCGAATTCTCGAAATGCTGTCGAAGCTTATTCTTGGCGTCTTTCCAGAACTGGGAATCCTTGTCTTCTGTACCCTTTCTATCATTTGTATAATCCTTATAGATAGAAGCGAACCAAGAGTAGTTGAGTACCTTTTCTTGGACTTTACTCTGTTCCAGGAAGTCACCGAAAAGGATTCCTTGAGTATTCGCTGCAACCGTCGTGTTCATTTTAATAACGTCGACAAGCCACGAGAGAGCATCTAACAAGTGTGGCCATCCGTGACTGGCGCCCATCGGCTGATAGTAGCTATTCTTGAGTGGATATGGATATCCAAGTCCCTTGAAAATCTGAGTGACTTCATCCTCAAGTCTCGCTGGCTCTGGATACTCATAATCCTTGCTGAGATGTTGATACATTGACTCGAAAAGAACGATGAACTCTCTCCTGCTGCCTGGAGCCCGGATGCTGCGCTCTGACGGTGCTTCAGCTCCATCGGTCTCCACGAAAAAGTTGTAGATTTTTTGAACATTTGCAGCTTGAAGGGATCTCACATCTCTTGGTGGAATTGTAGATCCTTTTTGGAACAGAGACGGGCGACTCTGGCCGTGGAGTGACATGCTTGGACGGGCATCCGTTCTGAAATTTAGTTTTTTTTTCTGTTGTTATTCTGACAAGATGATTTTTCATACTTTCTGACGGACGATAAGCCATGATCTGTGAATCGTTTGGTTGGCGTGATGGCGAGCGATTGCCGGCCGTTCAAATTCATACCACCCGTTTTACGCCGTTCACCGCCAAACATTTTAACTCTGAAAAATCAGCAAAACATATTTAGAGAAAGAGAATGTCTGAAATTAAAGTTGTTGGAAATCGCGAAAATTCATTGAAAAGGCGAAGACAAATTTCAAATCTCATTCTTGCCGCGCATTCCGCGCAGATGCAAACGCGCTCTTTCTGCACGGGCGAGAGGGAGAAGAGACGGAGAAAGGCTTTTTTAATGCTTCGCAAAAAGTGTTTCTCTTTTCTGTTTTTTTGAAATAAATAGTTTTCCGAATTTGTCGAAAACTTTTTTGGTTTTTTTTCTGTTAACAATAATTTTATTGTCTACGAAAAATATTGTTTCATACCTCTTTCCCGGTCATCTGTATTTCCATTTAATCAATTTTTACAAATTATAATTTCTTTCCAGATGGAGGTAGCGCTGTTCGAAGTCGGAGATATTTGTGTGTGTCTCTACCAGGGAAAAACTCCTTACGAAGCGAAAGTGATAGAAATCAAGAAGATTCAGGGAGTGCAAAACTATATAGTTCACTACAAAAATTGGAACAGTCGATACGATGAAAAGATTCCATTCGGTCAAGAGGAAGGAAAAATCTTCAAGTGCACGATGGAAGAATTCACTGAAAAATACGGAGGAAAGATTCCAGGACTTCATTCAGGTCCAGCGGATGAAGCTTCTGGTGCAGGGCCATCTGGAAGTGGTCCAGATGGCAAATCCCCAGATGGAACACTGAATAAATTGAAGACACCGACAATCACTTCCACCAAAGAATTGTTCACGAAAGAACTCATAAAGATATTGGTAGACGATCACGAAAAAGTCTGTCATGGATTCATCACCACAGTTCCAGCTCAAGTACCTCTCGATCAAATTATTGAAGAAGTACGCTTTTAGAATTTTCAAATTTAAATTGTCATATTATTGATTTTCAGTACATCGAAGCCGTGGGAGGACAGAAGCAAGAAAGTGCTGGTCAGCCCGAGAAAAGTGAAGCCAAACTTATCAAGGTGGATACAGCTCACGGGATCGCCAAATTCTTCAACGCTGTGTTTGGGTAGGCTCATTGATGACCTGGAAACAGTACTCAATGACCGTTTGTTCCTTCTTCCAGACATCAACTGTTGTACAGCGAAGAACGCCTTCAATACAACGATTTAGCAAGGCAAAAAGCTGTCGAAAAAGGAGTGAAAATAGAAAATATAGCTAGCGTGCCAGCTGAACTGTTCCGCCCTTCTGAAGTCTATGGGATAATTCACTTGTTGAGAATGCTCTCGAAGCTTCCAGAACTAACGAGGCTGATCAAATGGAACGAGCATCTCCTAAATGTGAGAGAAATTTCGAATTTTGATCATTGAAAAGTATTCTGTTTTTTCAGCTGTTCATGTCAGAAGTTCGCGATTTCTTGGAGTTCCTCGATAAAAATTCCAGCAAATATCACAGTGGAGAAGGATGTTACGAGACAGAAGGAGGTGAACATCGTCGAGCAGTAGCTGCTTCCCTTAAGTAATTAAGACACATTCTCTGAGAGAATTGAGATCGAGTCAACAGGCGATGGCAATGGAAAAATTCAAAATGGTCGTAGAAGCCTGATATTGTATTTGGTGGGTATAGGGGCTACTCTAAGACTTTTGACCATGGTGACCATAGTACACGCCCCCTCCTGGGCGCGATGACATACCGTAACCCTGAAAAATTATTTTTGTTCAAGATAATGATATCGACCCAAATGTTTCAGATTTCCGTTCCTGGTACTATTATGACCATTTTTTGTGTTGGGACCAATTTTCTACAGTAATCCTGAAGTAGAGAAAATTGCACTTTTTTGAATTTTTTGGAATTTTTTTTCACTTTTTTGGAAATTTCTCAAAAATTTTCCACTGTTTAAAAAACCAAACTCTAATAGTTCGATACTATGGGCCTGCCTACAGTTTAATACCATAGTGCCATAAAAAAATCCGATGCCCTCAAAATGGTTTTAGTCGAAGTGCGTAAACACCATGTGGGGGATTACATGGTAACTAAAATTCACCCAAAATCGACCATATCCAATTTTGACCAAATTTGTATCAGATGTAGTATTTTTGCTGGGTAATATTCTGGCAAAGTTACAAGATCCGATCTCATCGTCTTCGTGCATTTTTAGAAGCTCCAAAAAAGCGGCGAAAATTGCTTCGAAGTCCATTTTCAGTGGAAAACTAACACAAAAAATGGTAATAATAGTACCAGGAACGGAAATCTGAAACATTTGGGTCGATATCATCATCTTGAACAAAAATAATTTTTCAGGGTTACGGTATGTCATCGCGCCCAGGAGAGGGCGTGGACTATGGGTACCATGGTCAAAAGTCTTAGAGTAGCTCCAATACCCATCACATACAATATCAGACTTCTACGACCATTTTGAATTTTTCCATTGCCATGGTGATTTCGAGTTTCTCAGAGATTGTGTCTTAACAACGTCCACGATCGCAAAAAACAGAAATCTCTCTTCGCATGATCTACATTTTCTTTAATAAGCTCCCTTTTTCTTCCCATTCCAAATTGATGATTTCGATGATTTTTCTGGTATCACTGTTCCGATTCAGATCAATCTCATCACCCGCCTTTCGAAGTATGTATTTTATCCAGTTTTAGAGGAACTCATTGCTTTTAGATTAGATTTTCTCTTGTCCGTCATTTCCTTCCCGATTTCAAATTCTGTCATTTTTAAAGACTGAAATTGTTTTTATTTGTGATGCTAAATTTTCTTTTTGACATGAACACTTTTGAAAAAAATGATCATCCCATCGTTTTTGTATCCTTTTTAATTTCCTCCACCTTTGCTTTGACGCCGAAGCGGAAACTCTGAATGATCTTTTCTCTCACTGGTCTCGTGAAGCAAACCATTGAAACGGTTGCAGCTGTTCCATGATAAGGCATCAAAATATAGACGAACTGATATTTCGCTAAAAATTTCTGATATCAGAATGGATAAAACATGTGCTTACTATCAAGAGGCTCATTTCCTATCGAAACTTTTAGAAATTCAGACACTGGAAATATGAAAAACATTGAATTAATTACTGCTTGTATTAAAACACTGAAGAAGGACATTTTCTGAATTTCGATCGTTTTTTTGGATGCTACTTTTCGCAGAGCACGGAGCCGGAATGGTATTGTGATTACTGATATAATCACCAGGAATAGTGTAGTTGTAGTGACAGAACAAATTGATACTAATGAATAGAGATAATGAGAATCTGTGATTGGTGGGAATACGAATACATTGTTACAAGAAATAAGCTGGGATATTGGTGTTTGGGGGATCTGAAAGTACAAAAAAATCGGAGATGAAGAGAAACTCGTGGCCGTGGCCGAAGGTCCCACAACGATAACTACAGTACCCTAAAAATGTTTTTATTTTCTGATTTTTTTTCTCTCGATTTCCGTACGTCTTCAGTCATTTTTTCAGTTTCGAAAATTTTAATTTTCGACTTGTTTGCTGAAAAATAACAGAGAAATCGACGACAATTAGTAAAAACGAGAAAATACGCCCACAAAACTATGTTTAGGTTACTGTTTTTGTCGTTGTGGGACCTTCGTCCACCGGTGTTTCTCTTCCACAACTCCGATTTTTTGTACCAGTATTACTTTCGTCCGGCAGTGATGAACCTTGCGGTCGGAAATTTATTTAAAGGCGTACCGTAGGTACAACAGCGACAACAGCTACGGTTTTTTAATAAATACATGAGTCTTCGATACCGTATTTCAAAATTATTTCACTCAATACTATTTAAATCAATTTCGAAAAACGGTGTCGAAGGCGCATGCATTCAAAAAACCGTAGCCGTTTTCGCTGCTGGACCGACGATGCATCTTTAAATAAGTTTTCGGTCGCAAGGTTCATCACCGGCGGACAAAAATAAGAGTCAGTTTTCAAACTTCAAACTTGAGAATATTCCGCTTTGTATTGTTTCTGTTTTTCGATTGCATGTGGCGTGCTTCCAGCGAAAAATAAGACAATAACAAGAATGTTCATCCGAAATATGTACACCAAAATCTTAATAGGATCGAATTTGCTTTGATCCGGTCTTGCTGCTTCCAGGCGATATCTTAGAAGTTCAACGGTGGATAAAGCCGCGTCTGAAACATCCATAGATTACGAAGCGTCTGGTTTTATTCTTACTAGTTATGAGAATAAGTTCAATATTGATAGCAAGGACTCCAGGAACATCCAAATACATCAAGAAACCAGCAAAACGATAGATTGGAAATTGAGTGTACGGTACAGGTATAGCGAGAAACGAAAAGTACATTTGGGATACAAAACTACCGATTGTATGCCATAAAAGAAGTTTACTGAACGACTTAAAATTCTCGTTTTGTTTCTGGTATAATGCGCGGAAGGTAAGAACATAAGGAATCATTGAAACGATATGTGGATATCTGACAATATCAGAGTATAGTTCCGGTGCAGGTTCGAAACAATTCATTCTGAAATAACTAAAATTTAGAAATCCAAGTTATTATACTGTTCAAATTAAATGATCCTAATTGAATCACTCTATTAACATGACCAACTTTTGAGTCATTTCTGGAGGCAAGTCATAAATTGTGTGCTCCGTTTGCAACATAAAGAACCAAAACATTACTAAAATCTAATTTTTTGTAATTTAATTGCTTTATCATATATATCTCATGACAATCAATCGATATTTGAACAGAAAATATACAAACCCCCTGAAATATATGTACATTTTAATGACCCAAAAAAGAAACAAAAAAGGGTCAAAAAGCCCATATAAAGGTGGAAACTGCCCATTTTATAACCAAAATGCGTGTTTCCATTGTTCTCCTTCTTCTCCTATCCATCATTTCTCTTTCGTTTGGAAATGAAACTACTGACAGTAAATCACTATCCGGAAAAGTGGGTTTGAAACAATAAAAATCGTTTCAAAAAACTTTTATAGAAAAAATTGGTCCCCAAAGATTACGCAGGATCCGAAGCACACTCAACTGATCCAGAGAAGATGAAGAAAATGCAAATGCTGCAACCAAAGTTTCGATTAATGAATTGATTTCGAAATAAATTCAAATGAATCCTTTACAAGCGAAATCATATTCTTATTTTTCATCAACAAATCCTCTTCAATTCAGCAAATGTATCGCTTTCTCATATCAGAACGCTTCAGTTCCTGGTGTTCAAAAAAGTCGTCAACGAACTAATCTCATTCATTTGCCCTTTCGGCCATAAATTTATCATCACTTTTGCATGATGAGTCTTTTTTTCCAGTTTTCTCTCTTCTTCTCACTTCCTCTTTTGCGTAATTGCCTCGCATGCCAAGTGTAATTCGGATACCCCTACCCGCCCACAGTACAACCTTGGGAAACGGATTCTATAAAAGACAGGTTGGCAAACGTTTTCATCAGTTCTTCAGACATGGAGTTCGAGCAACGCATCAAAGCATACCGTTTTGTGGCCTATTCGGCTGTCGCCTTCTCGGTTGTTGCCGTTCTTTCGGTATGCATCACTCTTCCAATGGTGCACAACTATGTTCACCATGTCAAGAGAACCATGAACCAGGAGGTTCAATTCTGCCGTGTAAGTTTCAATATTTCTTTCCTATTTGACTTCTTATTCATGTCATTAATTTCAGGGATCCGCCAAGGACATCTGGTCTGAGGTCAACCAACTCAAGAGCATTCAACATGCCAACAGAACCGCCCGTCAAGCTGGATACGATGCTGGAGTGAACGGAGGATCCGCCTCTGCTGGAGGATGTGATGCTTGCTGCCTGCCAGGAGCTGCTGGACCAGCAGGAACTCCAGGAAAGCCAGGACGTCCAGGAAAGCCAGGAGCACCAGGACTCCCAGGAAACCCAGGACGCCCACCACAGCAACCATGTGACCCAGTCACCCCACCACCATGCCAACCATGCCCACAAGGACCACCAGGACCACCAGGACCACCAGGACCAGCTGGAGATGCTGGAAGCAACGGAAACCCAGGATCCCCAGGACAAGATGGACAACCAGGAGCCCCAGGAAACAAGGGACCATCTGGACCAAACGGAAACCCAGGAGCTCCAGGAGCCCCAGGACAGCCAGGACAAGATGCTCCATCCGAGCCAATCACTCCAGGAGCACCAGGACCACAAGGAGCCCCAGGACCACAAGGACCACCAGGAGCCCCAGGACAACCAGGACACGATGGACAACCAGGAGCTCCAGGACCAAAGGGACCAAATGGAAATCCAGGACAACCAGGAGCCGATGGAAACCCAGGAGCCCCAGGACAATCTGGAACTCCAGGAGGTGCCGGAGAGAAGGGAATCTGTCCAAAGTACTGCGCTATCGATGGAGGAGTCTTCTTCGAGGACGGAACTCGTCGTTAAGCATTCATATTCTATTTCAAATAAATAATTTTCAATTTGAAAAAAAGTGTACTTTATTCAGAAAAAATTTAGCTTAAAGTTCTAAAAAACAGGTTGAATATTTCGTCCAATCTTCGACAAATTACATTTAATTACACGTCTGGCAGCTGAAAACGGATGTGTTATAGCGAAGTGGTGCTATTTGATCAACTAAACGAATTCCTGGAAATTAGGTCAACTTATCCAATTCTTATTCAAAAAAAAAACAGAAAACTATTCATTTCGTCAACGATTTCTTCTTTATGAAAATCTAATGAACGAATCTTGCACAATACCAACTTCTCCATTTCTTTTGAACTTGAGTCATGTTTTAGTTTGTTTAACAGCTCCTGTTTACATCACCACTTGCTATATTTTAGTCTTCAAATGTTCTCCGTTTTTCAGTCAGTATCGGATTGTCCTCCTGCGACATATATTTACGTGAGTGTTATTCAAAGTTGAAAGAGGGAAATAGTTTTTTTCTAGATGCATATTCATGGAATACTTTGTGGACATCATCTGGCAAATGACTGTAGTTGTTCCCTATTCAGCGTTTTGTTCTGTGGGAACCGGACATCGTTATCCAGTTTTCATGTTTTCTATTGTTGTCGCTGGTCTTTGTGCGACTGGAGTTTCAATAATGCATATGTTTCAGTATCGAATGAATGCAGTAACAGATGATTCAATTCGAATCTTGAAAAGTATAATAACGGGTGTAAAGTTCTATCACTACTTTATGATGACGTCATGTCTGTGTCTTCTGATTGCGTCATATAATCATTTAGCAGATCAAAAAGCATTCAAAACGAATGTCCAATATGTACGAGACAATCTATTATATCAGAAAATTCAAACTAAACTTTTAGAAATTCGGAAGTGTTCCATCTTACATCTGGTGTGACAATTGCATGTTCATAAACACTGATTCAACTACTGTCCTCATTTTTGTTGGTCTTGGAGCTTCAAGTCAACCATTAGCTGCAGTTTATTTTGGACTATCTGTATATGCTTTGAAACTTGGACTCCAGAAGCTTCGAAAGTCGTTATCCCAACGAACAATTACAACTCAGAGGAATTTCTTGAATAGTCTCTACCTTCAAACTGCAGTTCATGTAATTTTCATATCTGTCCCACTTGGTATATTTTTCCTCACCTTTATTCTACACATTCCTTCTAGTGAAATGTGTAAGTGTAGCTTATCTTGCCTTCAAAAACTTTATCAGAGTCTTTATCAGATATGAGTTATATTCCAATGGCAATGTTTACCCAACATGGATCCCTATCAGCTTTAGCTCTTCTAGTGTCTAACAAACCACTCTATTCGGTGTTCACAAAAACATGTATGGGTTCAACATTAAAAACAAGGTAAAATCTATAATTCCAGTTCTTCGAATGAAAACCAACATCAGAGAAACGGACAGAGTTTCGGACATCAGAGGAGCGGAAAGAGAACACTCCAGTTGGAACAGAACAGCTGTCAGAGAAAACGTTATGAAATAAATAATTCAACTTTGTTTTAAATACAAGTTCTGCTGCCTCCTAGAGGCGTTCAAAAATTGCGTATGTCACCCATGTTTCAGGGGACATCGCGGGCAATTGGGAAAAGTTTTCAACCAGCAATAAACGCACCTCGGCAAAGCCTCATTGGTCACGTTATCGCCCCAGCGCAAAGCTAATTTGGGTGATGAAGGGATGGAGGGTCATGTAGCCGGTGTACCGACATCTCACGGGTTCCGCGCGTCACTATGTTTTGTATGGAAAGTGGGCGGGGCATGTGCAATATTCGAAGGTTGAAGATACATTTTTTTTGTTTCAAATGTTGATAGTAAAACCTATCCATAGAGAGGGAAAGGGCTCCGCGTCCCTTCAAAACTGCGACATTTCGAAACCAGTCATTTGGAAACCGTGGTAATACAGGCGAATGAGGAGATAGAACAAACTCTGAAATTCGAGAGAATCGAAAATTTAGTTTTAAAATAAAGTTTTGGAATTTTTCGAGTTTCAGACTGTGTTCTATCAGAAAAAACATTTTTGAAATTATATACATATAACTGTTTTTGTTGTCTGATATTTATCTATTCGCCTGTGTTACTACGGTTTCGAAATGACCGATTTCGAAGTGTCACAGTTTCGAAGTGCCAGGAAAAGTACACTAGCAATCCTAAATGCTGTTTCTTTAAACCACGTGCTCAAATAGCTGTCCATAACTAACGCCTCCAGATAGAAGGAGGATAGAAGTTCTTAATCTTAGGCCAGATTAAACAGGATGCCTTAAAGACGGATTATAATCGAAATTGAAATTTTCTATCATCATTTTGCAATACATGAAAATTCATGGAAATCCATTATTTTGATCAGATGGATGTAAACTAACGGGGAGCTCATTTTATCCCCTTATCACTTTCACTTTTCTCTCTCTCTCTGCATATCCAATCTCTATTCAATATTTCCTTATCCGGCTCTTGTTCGCCGTTTCTCTCCTATCTCTTCTTTGTCATGCTTCGCTTGGCATGTCTGCTTCACGTATAAATACACGGCTGGGATTTCAGAGCATCATTAGTTTTTTGTCTATTTTTATATTTTATTTTAAGCGCTTTAATTTTCCTTCGATTTCATAAAATATTGTTTATTGATCGAGAAGCCTTCCAGAAATGTCCGATCAGCATAAAAGAGTTCACCCCAAAGATCCCGATGAAAGTCGATCACCACGAAACGGGAAGTGCTCCAAAGATGACGTTGCTTTTGATTTGGAGAGATTGATTTTGGAGAATCGTTCATTCAACGACGAGAGAGACAACATTTATGAAAAGATTGCAGAGTATATCAAAGGAACGGACGTGGTTTCAGTAAGCGTCGAAGAGTACATCAACCTTCACGCACCGTATCTATCCCAAGAAATTCATAGAGGTATTGGAGCCAACGTCTGGGCGACTGAATTCGCAAAGGCGAAATTGGGTGAAGTCTATCCCGATTGGGATGTCCCACGTGAAAACGATCCTAGACTTCCGAAACCGTCTTGGGAAATGACAAAAGAAGAAGAAGAGAAGATCCTTGGTCCTATTGACGAATACGATCTGATAACAGATGCATCTCTGCTGAATGAAGATATTCCTGAAGCTCCAGTTGATCCAAATATTCCAACAACTTCAGTTCCAAGACGACCAACAATGTTTCTGTCTGTGAAGGATGTGGATAGACAACGAGATAGACGGAGAGAATGGGAAGATGATGTTGGAGAAGATGGACTTCAGAAGTTGGTGATTCGAGAGGCCGAGGAGACTGGATCCAATTCTCGAAATGTTCCAAAAAAGAAACGACGAGTCCCATAATATTTGTATGGTTTTATTTACTTTTTTGAATTGGCACATCTTGGAAAAATTTTTATGACAATATAAATAAGATACTTGAGTTTACCTTCTTCTTTTACTTTTCTAACAAGAAAGCAAACAATCTACTCCGAAAAACTTCATAACAAAACAATTTGAAAAACGAAGGAAAGAATGAGAATTCTGAATATCAGAATAATGAATTTTAATACATTTGAACTAAACATTGTTTTAATTACTCCTGCTTCTGTCGTCCTTTGAAATCGTTCATTGATTCGTTGGTTCCAAAGAAGTCAGCCATGAGAACTTGAGCTTCGATTGGGAGAAGACCGATCAATGCGAGAATTGTGTAGGATGCTTTTGGCATGCACAACAATGGACGGTTGGTGAGAATCGCCTCCATGATACATTCAACAGCATAGTTGGCTTCGAGGATCGGGAACAAGGCTGGGCATCTGAAATGTAGGAAAATTACTTGTATAGAAAAACATCTAGCTGGGGCTTACTTCGTGGTAACTCCATGGAACATTCCAGTGTCAATGAAGAATGGACAGACCAAAGTAGTGTTGACTCCGTACTTCTTCTGAGCCAAAATCTCCATAGCAATTGAATCGTGGCATCCGATGGCTCCGTGTTTCGAAGCGCAGTAATCAACGAGTCCGACGCATCCAGTTTTTCCAGCCATCGAAGCGATTGTTACGAGATGACCGCTATCCTTGGCAAGCATTGATGGAAGGAAGTTCTTGGCAGTCTGAAATAGTTCTTTGGAAATTTTTAAAAATTAGTTATTACATAGAAGAGAGCATTGGTGTTGACGGCCATTGTTTTTTCCATCAATTCATCTGGACAATCAAATAGTTTCTTTCCTGAAAATTTGACATACATGAAGTTGGATAAGAAATGATAACGAATTACCTGTCACAATTCCTGCGTTATTAATTAAAATATCAACGTCTCCAACAGCATCCTTTGTCAATTTTGCAACTCGATGAATATCTTTGTATTGTGATAAATCAACCACAAACACGTTGGCAGTTCCTCCAGCCTTTTCAACTTGCTTCTTTGTTTCCTCTGCACCATCCTTATTAACATCCCAAATGACAACCTCTGCTCCAATTTTAGCAAATTCGATGGCCATCAGTCTTCCGATACCACTTCCAGATCCAGTGATCAACACCTTCTTTCCTTCTACAGACTTTCGTGGGAGGATCCCATTTGGTAGAAGATTTTTGAAAAAGTTGAGAACTATGAAGAATAAGGTCCCAAAGACCATTTTAGCACCGTCTATTATTCGCTCCATATTCTGAAAAAAATGATCGATGAATCAAGAAAAAAAACGAGATGATCAAGGCTGAAAAAAAGATGGAGTGTTGCGAGATGCAACAGACGGGTCAAATGGACGAATGTGTTTGTTGATTCCGTTATTTTCTAGGGCAGCGAGATAGTGAGATACGCAGATAGAGAGACAGAATGGTTGGTCTTGGCTAGAGTTGTAAAGTAACAATGGATTGCTAGACTCTAGCGAATGGTCAGAAAACATTGGCAAGAAAGAAGACCTGGAGCCTAGAGTTCTGTAAAGCAATACGTGTTAAAAATGGGGTACAATGTAGAGAATCTTTTTTGAAGTAGCGGAAGGGAACCAAGTAATTCTGAAAATCAATCACAATACCGTCAGACCTGTAGTAGAAGAGCCCCTTAACTTCCAGCTGATTTCTCTCTTTTCCTGTCAAAAATATAAGAAAGTTGTCAACTGATAAACTGTTTACCATAATTTCAGAAGTGGTTTGTGAGTTGAAACATTTTTAATATCTTGCAGAGTAATTTCGATAACTCACGTCAAACTTGACAGCTGGGGGCCCTTCTATTACAGGTTTTACGATATATGCAAATTTGAGAGTCAACGATCGAAAGAATATCGAGAGAAAGAGAAACGATAAATGAGTAGACGACAAAAACGTAGATACTGATTAATGGGTAAAAGAACAAAGGGAGGCCAGCCAGATGGTTATGTACAAGATGCCCAAGATCAAGATCTAATGGGTGGGAGGTCAATATGTGTGTTGTGGTGTGGAGGTGGGAAAACCAGGGAATGATTGAGTGTGAAGACGAATGTTTGGGTAACTCCTAAGGACTATGGTAGTTTCTCGTCGAGAATTGGAAGACTACTTTTGATTCGAGTAGCGGTATGAATCCGAATCCGATTATTTGAATATCTCACTCACAATGTTGGTGTATTATCTTTTGAAATTTTTTTTCAAAAACTGAAAACATGAGACTTAAATCAAAGAAATTTTAGGAAAAGTTCTAATTTTTTAAACAGAGAAATAATAATCCGAAGAAAATTGTCTGGGAGGATATGATGTCTTTTGGGAAGGTAATAAAATGCCTCTTGGGGGAAAATAATGTTAGAATCGGATTGAGATAATCGGTTCTATTTTTACCTTTTTTACCTTTGGAGTACTAAACAATCTTCCTTGGTTTTAGGAAAATAATATTGGTCGACGTAAAATCTATGCTACTCTTTTGTAGGCTTGTTACTGTCGGCTTGGCCAGGTTCTGGACGGAACTTGCTCAAAAACGGCTGTCGAGCGGGTCATAGTCAGATTTTGAATTGAAGTTGAAATTTGAGATATTACTAGGTCTGAACCTTATGATACGTTTGTAGGAGTTTGGTCGGCTTTAATGGCGGTCTTATCCGGAATCTGACCAACCTTCGACCAGAAGTTGCCGGCGACCCCCGAGATAGCAGAGGAAGTTAATGAACTGACTCATCTTTGTTAGACACATCTGAAAACAATGAGTATACCGGATATCGATGCTGCTTTTCTTGTTATCATATTTTCTGTTTTATGATTCATTAATATCTGTATCAATCGGAAAGATATACAACTCGAGGGAGCAGTAGTAGAGGCTGTGAGATTTTTGTGAAAGGGTGCTCAGAAACAGTTGCTCCGATAGAGCTCGAACCATCTTACATCGTTTCTTCCAATTGAAGCTTGATTTCTCGCATAATAAAATCAGAAAAAAACACAATGTGAAACTAATTGAAGGAATTTGTAATGAGGTGAATAACCCCATAACAAGACATTCATGAGCCTCTTTGAAACTAGTCAAGATCAATTATATTTGAAATGAGCAGCAAAACGTTTTCTTTTCCTTACATCTGCAACTATTTTTGAAACGACTGTCCATCTTTTTACAGGATGGCGTATAATTACCGATACTCGAGTTTGTGCTAGCGTAACATTTGAACAAAACGTTTTACGGATTGTGAGCTCAAATTTGAAATCACAAAGTTCGAAAAATTCAGACAAATTTCGATTTTTTTGATCAGCTTTGCACTGAGGTATAGATTGTCAAAGTTGCTTCATCTCATGAAAATCACAACGGCATGCAAACATTAAGCCGTTTAACTTTGGACAATCATAACAATACCTAGACTTGAAGAATCGCTTTGAAAATTTCAGAAGATTTAAATCGAATGTAAAATTCTATTCCCAACAAATTTCATGCTTCTGAGATACTTACTTCTAAAGGTATACCAGGTTTTATCAGTCCGTGTGAATGTGCTCCACCCTCCATATTTTAATCTTCATCGTGTTCTTTCATGAGAGAACAGGACTAGCGTAGTCTTGAACGGCTCCTTTCAATTTCCGCCTTTCTTTTTTGGTTCCCTATTCTCCACTCACTGAGCCGTCAGTTTTTTTTGTCAATCTCCGCCCACCCCATAATTCCCATTTTTCCATTTCCTCAGAATAACCCAATACCCTTCCCGTTCATTTTTTTTGCGAATATTTGACATTATACTATACATTAACATTTTATTTAATTGGCTCAATTCCTACTCAACCATCCGTCCCATTCTCTCAGCTTCTTCTCAAATGAATCAAATCCATCGTCACACTTACCTCCTTTTTTTTAAAGACGCCTCTACGAAGAGTCCTCGTCTTGTCTAAAAGGAAAAGAGAGATTTATTCGTTGGGTTCGTCTCCTGCGTCTCCCCATTTGGCTCTTTTTCGTGTGTCTTCCGTATGTGCACTTCGCATAAATTTCCAACTGCCGGGGATGGGGAGTCGTTTCGATTCTTTGAGTGTTCCTGAAGTTGAAAAAACTCTTCCTCTTTTCTGATTCCGAAAATGCTGCTGCTGCTTTTCGGAGCGGTTCTTACTGTCAATGGAGAAAACTCTCCATGCAACTGTCCGGATTCAAAGTAAGTCGGAGTTTATTTGAAACTTCCAAAGCTGATAATACTTACACATACCTAGTTCTTCTTCATCAGAAGTTGTATTCTAACTTCACATTTCTCGAGTTCTTTGTTCTCATTCCAGAATTAATCACGTCTCCGCCATTTCATTCGGCATTACACTTCTCTCTCCATCCTATTCCTCTGTTTACCTCAACATCTCGGCTGATTTCGGAGCTGTCATTAACGAGCCTTCTGAACCCATTTCGTAAGACATCCTTCTAATAAGTCATAACTTCGCTTCTTCTAATTCTAGTTTTGCCGAGAATCACTACTACTGGGACAATGAATACTTCACTGCTAATGAATCCCACTTCACTGTCTGCAATTATCACATTGCTTATCATAATAAAGAATTACGGAAGGTGAGACAACGGCAACTTGTTGAGAAAATATATCCGTTCAGATCAAGTATAACGTCACTCATCGCCCTTCAAACATCACATTTGGCTGCAATTGGTATCAAGAGTGTTGCGAATTGGGATGCTGTCTGAACAGTCTCATACAAATCGGCATTCTGATGTGAGGAACACAGATGTATTAAAGTATTGAAGTACAATTTTCAGTTTGCTCTACACTGGAATTGCTTTCATGGCTGTCATATTCTGCGCCCAGTTAACACTCCGGTCGAACGACCAAAGAGGAGAATTCCGGTCTCCTCCGAATGTCAGACGCCACTATCCATGCCGTAGAGCCGCTGCAGAACGAACAGTGGAGAGCTACGTTCTCCAAGAGCTCGCCATCAGAGAAGCACCGCCAGCGTACGAGGAATTGTATCCGAACGGAAGTCCGTATGAAGAAGCTGGCCCGAGCACGAGCAACACAATTCCACGGATTGTTGTGAATGCGGTAGAGGATTCCGAGAACACTGATACCAATTAAATTATTATTTTTTATTCTGTTTTAACCTGAGCAAGTTTGTCATAAAGAGAAAGATTAAAGTGATTTTTTTTAATTCCTTGTCTTTGAAGCTTTGTATTTCGCTTAAAATATCTATTTAAACTATACCCTTTTTTCGATTGACCTGTTTTTAAGGGTGAGCTGATGGCATTGCATTTCATATTTATCCTTTTGTTGAACTTCCTGAGAAATGGTCAATCAGCAGCAAGCTGCTGCGATCGTTCAAGGTGAGTGCCTATCAAAGCTTGCTCATTTTCATCATTTTCAGATCTGGGTACGTGGAATTCAGATCTCTAACTGAGTTTCTCCGTAAAACAGACGTAATCGAAAAACACTTCAACTACAACAACCAGACGGATGTGTTCTACATCAATCACGACGCTACAATTCTGTATAACTCAATCCACTATTCTTTCGATGACTTCTATGAACAACATGAGAACAGAACCAAAGTTTGCCTGTTTAAACTCTACAGACGCTACGATGAGATTGAACATGTGAGCCAACAACAAAAAATCGTATTCCAAGACATGTTTTTTTCTCGTTCGTAGGTAGTTTTCAACGATGGATCCCGCCCGAGACAGATTGTGTTCGGTTGTCATTCGGATGAGGAGTGCTGCGAAATCGGATGTTGCTCAATCGGTAATTATTCGTACTTCTATGTTATGTGAGTGTTAAAGTGATTTGTATACGCTGTCCACGATAATAGTTCAGATATCCAATAGGTATTTTCCTGATTTCTGTTGCTTCCTTCGCGCGGAGAAGGCGACTACACAATGCGAGAGAGCAACATGACGAAGAAGATGATGCTCAAAATTAAGATTTCAAATTAGAGAATGATCATTGTCTAGACCATCTACTTCTATCTAACTCTACCTACTCCTAACAAGCTTCCCTTTATTTCCTAGAAGTCTGCCCTTTTTTTTTATTTCTCAAAGCCATGCTACCGTATTTCCTCTAATATAACGCCACAGCACAGCGTCAACTTTGAGCCAACTTATCTCGGTTCCTGTAAATGATATCAAAAAGTGGTCAACTGACAAAAAATTTGTCATTGGCCATTGTGATAAACGTTCTGTCAGTTGATAATTTTTTTCATATATTCTACAGGAACCGAGATATTCGAGTTCAACGTTGACGGTTCTTTTAGAGCTTTTTTTACGCACTCCCCGGAAGGCATCAGTAACCTAACGATTTCATTAAATTTGTCGTTTTGTAATTTTTATAAGTTTTGATCCAGAGCCTGTAATAAAGAATTCTTTATTGAGTTGCTTGAAACATATTACAAAAGTAAATGATTAGACAAAATCAGACAATTGATCAGCTAAGAAAATGAAATGATTATCGTTATGAAGTAAGGAGGACCCATTTGATGGATGAGAGAGAAAAAACAGGGAAATGACGAAAAGAGAATGGAAAGGTTGTGAAAGTGAAATTTTGTGTAGAAGATGAATATGGTCATGTTAGAAAAACAAGTACAAATGAAAATGGATACAATGAATCATCCTAGTTGAACTTCTGGATCAGATGCAAACAACCGGAACGCGTCGAACCAATCACCGCGGATTACGTGGAAGAGTTGAGGGAAGGAGTTGACAGCGAGGGTGAGAAGAGTCTGATCATCGTCAATTCGGTTTTGATAAATTAATTGGATGAATTTGCGATGAATGATAGAATGCAATTGACCGATAGAGCTGGAAAACATTTTCAGATTATACCTTAACTTTCTAAAAACTTACTGTTTGTCTCCTGAAATAAATCCTCCACTCAATAAAGCTACATTTTTCCTATACAGTCTTGACAAATCGTAATCACTCAGACCATCAAATTCCGGTGTCACTTTAATCAGCGAAATTTTTCCATCAGGAAGGGCAGGACGCCAGTAGTAATTGTATGGGAAATGGTTCTCATTGGCATGTCCGTACCCCGCATCAAACCATACAAAGTGCTCCGAATTGAATGGATTCTCCATTGTGACATTGTGAAGAAAGTGAGTTTTTGAGTTGACAACAATATTGTACTCGGCGCTGATCGATTCCGGATGTGTTCGCATGTCAAGATCAGCAACAGTTCTGAAAAATTCGAAATTTTGCCTTTCTTATGTTGATTGGACAATTTACCTGTAGAAGGTTTCGTTCTTTAACTCATCACTGATAATTTTCCTTGCTTCATTGATATACCCATACAATGGCAAATCATTCAATGTGATTTTGTGGATCTTTGTTTTTTCCATCAAACCTAGTTTTGTTCTTGTTTTGACTACAAAATCATATGTCGAATCATCTGTGAACACTACAAAATTGTTTTGAAGAGTGAGAAGTGTCTCCATGAATTGATGATAAGTTTCCAGCGGTCTTCGGTAAACGTCCCACTCTCCACGACCAATATCAAGGAATCCAGTGACAATGGTTACATCTCGCCTGGAAAAAAATAATAAGAATAAAAAATGTTCGTAGTATGAACTCACTCGACTCTCTTGATTGGTGGTTGAGCTGGTTCGGGTTGTCTATGACGTGGAACGCCTGGTCTCTCCAGAAGAACCCGTACCGGTGCAGGAGTAGTTGGTGTGGTTGTAAATGTCGTCGTTGTTGTTGTTGGTAGTGGTGTAGACGACTTCTCTTCCTCGTAACTCAGATCTTCAACTGATTCCACAAATCCCCATCGATCCAATTCTGATTCTCTTGTTGTTGTGGAAGTTGGACGAGCTGTAGAACTGTGATGGTGATGACCCTGATGATGTCCGTGATGACTTCCATGGTGATGTCTCCTTGAAGTCGTGGTTTCTACAACTGTGGTGGTTGTTTCTGGTTCAGTAGTTGTTGGAGCCTCAGTTGTTTGAGTTGTTGTAGTCTTCTCCGTTGTGGTACTTGTTGGATACAGGATATTTGGGAAATGTGGGTATGGAAATTGTGGATAAGGAATATGATGACGGTGGTGAGAATGAATATCAATGTGGGTACGGTTGTGTTGGTGGTGGTGATGATGATGTTGCCGATGAGTACTAGTCGTTGGTTGAACATTTGGAGTACGATAAGTAGAAGATGTCACCTCGATCTTGTGGATGTAGGGGTTCCGGTAGCTTGATGTTGCAGGGATTGAAGGAATGGTTATTCGATCATAAATAGAGTTGGAAGACGACGAAGGAACTGATGGATAGGAAGATGCGTAATATCTTGGAGTTGTTACTCGAATCCGGGTAGTTGTGGTCGATGGTCCAATTGTTGTAGTTGTTGGAGATGTTGTAGTAGCTGGCGTGGTTGTAGTTTTGTGATGGTGATGATGGTGTTGATGGTGTTGATGGTGGTTCACTCTATCTTGACCATAACGATGACGATCTGGATCATATATTGGTGGGCGTCTGAAACGAATCAATAAGGAATGTTTGAGCAACTGACTACCGTAAGCACTCTGATAGAAGGCCACACTATATTTCAACGATGGGCTTTATTATCTCAGTTTCTATGAGAGATATCAAAAGGTGGTCAACTAAAAAAATGTTAATTATAATATCAAAACCATTTTGTCATTACACAACATTTTGATATCTTTTACAGGAACCAAGATATTTTGACTCAAAGTGTGTAAGGTGGCATTTTATTAGTGTTTTCGGTATATTGCAAAAGTTCCATCATCAAGACAAGTGTTCTCTTTTCATTCACGAACCTGGTTGGGAACGTCCATGTTCGAATCCGTGTGGTGGTAGGTGCAACAGTCGTGCTGGTTGTAGAAGTAGTTGCAGTTGTAGTGGTTGTGCTAGATGAGGTGCTAGTGGTAGTAGTGGGTTCAGTAATGTACTCAGTAGTGGATTCAGTGATTTCTTCAGTGACAAACTCAGTAGTTGTGTCTGTGGTTGTTGAAGGTTCCTCTGTGATGACAACTGGTACTTTCCTTGTAGAAGCTGTGATCCATTCAATGTCCTCTTCTGAGTTGTCTTCTTTTATCTCTGGAAGTCGTGTAGTTCTTGGAACGTAATCTAGAGGTTCTACGTCATCGTCTTGTTTGGGTTGATGCTTGTGTTGCCACTCTGAAAGTGTGACCTTGGCAAACAATCTGGAAATTCGGTTTTTTGACTTACCTCTCACTTTTTCTTCTTCACTTCTCTCATAATCTTGAAGCAGATTCAATCCATATGACCCAAGCAGATAGATTATGATAAAAATGAGAAAGCATATGAGTATCGGAATAAATAATTGCCGCTTCCTCATCTGATCATTTGCGGCTGAAAAAAGGAAGTTTTTAGAAGAACGGTAGAATTGATAAGAGATGGGTGAAAAACGACGGATCATGGAATGATGGCCAGCGTATTTGTTCATGCTTCTCATATTCAGTATTCAATTCGGTTTCACGCCGCCTCCAAATAATAACCGAGCAAACAGAAAGATATAGGGAACGCGAGAATTGAGGAGACAGTCTGTTTGTAGTGTTTGTTGTGTCAAGAAGCAATGTTCTCATCATCAGGTAGCATCTCAATTTCCTCTTATTTTCTTTCCGAATTGTTTTATCAACGATAAGGTGTCACGCATGAGAAATTGAAAAGTACGAAACTAGTGCTACAGTTCTATTTGATTAAGAATGAGGTAAAAAGAAAAACGGACTGCGACTTGTGACGGTTGTGGATGAAAGGAAAAAGAAACAAAAAAAACGGGAAGATGAAGGTGAAGAGCCGAAAGTGAACGAGGTAGAGGGAGAGAGGGGTGTGTTTGATCGAGGAAGACCAATTTGAAAATGGTAAAGTTCACAGAAAAGGGGTTGGGTATCAAATAGAAAGTGCAATTGGTTACATAGTGATGAAATTGAGAGGACATTGAGATGAACGTAAACGGAAAGAGATTACGGTATCTCAAGAAAGTATCACTATTCTGCTAAAAAATCAGAGTTGTGGAAAAGAAACGCTGGTGGCCATATCCGGAGGTCTCGCGACGACAACTACCGTAACCTAAAAATAATTTTAGTTACAAGTCTTATTTTCTCGTTTTTTAACTGATTTTCGTATTTTTTTTCTGTTGTTTTTCCCCGCAAAGGCGGAATATCGAAAGTTTTTAAAGTGAAAAAAAAATGACTGAAAATGTACAGAAATCAAGAAAATAAATGGAAAAAATAAACATTTTTTTCGGTTACGGTAGTTCTCGTTGTGGGATCTTTGGCCATGGTCCACAACTCCTATTTTTACCAAAATCATAGTCGGTAATAGTCTATAACCAGAATACAATAGAAATTCGAGCTATTTCACGGAAACCTATTTTTACAGAAATAATCGGCTATCCAGAAAAAAAGGATACAGTTCTTATGATTCCAAAGTATAGAGTAGTTATATAGAAGAGTAGGAGTTTTCAAAAGCACTTTACTTCAAGTGAAAAAAGAGCAAAAGCCCATCCTCCTGCACTTCACGTCATAAAGTTTTTTTCACCATATCCGTAATGTTTACACTCTTGACTTCACCAGCTGATAATTTGAAACTTACAAAAGATCTCTTATGAAATGAAAAGGTCTAGAAATTATCAGTAACAGCTAACTTCACGATGTCATTACAAAAAGAAGACCGATTAGATGAAATATCAGCATGTATCAATGTTTTTTCAGCAAATAAATTTAACACAGAGGGATATTGTTGAGGAATGTGATTCCCTGTTCTTTTTTCCGCGGCCACACCAGAATCAACGCGCGGAGATGAAGCAACTATCTGTCTCTTGTTTTTTCTATTTGTGCGCACAGGAGCGAAAGAAACGGACGGTATGGAATGGTCAGTGAGCTCTCTCGACGATGCTCCATTAGTGTTCTGTTTCACAATTATTTGGCGCCGATCTGGCGGAAATATTTCGGAAATTGAGATTTCGAAAGATGAAATATCTTGAAGAACACATTTACAAGAATATTTGATTTGTGAGAGAGATGGAAAAAGTGGGCGAATTCTTTCGAAAAATGATCCATTGATGAAGGTTACACCAGATGTTTTGATACATTCTACAGTGCTTTGTATGTTTTGATTTGGAACTACGCCTTCAATGCCAGGTGGCAATTCTATGATAACATATACAACTGAATTGATGGCGAAGACGTTCTAAAGGAAACAAGCAGGTGTGGAAAGAGATCGAGTTGTCTGTGGAAGTAGGAACCAAATGAATGAAATATTAGGAAAAGAGGGGCGGTGCTATCCTCCATTCAAATTTTTACAGTACTTCGATTTGTACTTTGAATTACTTATGTTAACGACTCCAATTAAAAAATGAATGGGATTGGAAAAAGAATATTCGAATATTGATGGAATGTCTTTTAAAATTGGATTCAAAACGACAGTATTTAAAGTAGGAGAGGGTTAAATGATGCACCTGTCGCCTAGAGAGTTTTGGATTAGAAATAAAAATGACTAAGTCTGTTCAAATAGAGAAATAGGTTAGTGCGAAGTTACTGCACAACGAAGAGAGAAACAGATGAGAAAAGAGAAGGGGCTCAAATGTTTCAAATAGTGAAGAAGAAGATCCAAAAAAGTTATACGGGGCGCCAGATGGAATGAGATTCATGAAAACGAGGAGCACGAAGAAACAGAAGGCGCGCTTCTTTCTGGACGAAAAAAGTTTCATCAGCTGTGATGTGATCATCGCCACCGACTCCTCATTTTTCTCCTCCTACTTTTTGTCCAAATGTTTGCATTTTGTTGTCTTTCGCGCGCATAGCGTGGGAGAAACAGAGAAGAGCACAGTGTCCTCCTCTCATCCATTTCTGTGGCTTTTCATTATGCCGCCGCCTGTCTTGTATTCCGCCATTCCCCGGGAGCGTTCCTCTTGCGCCACCCGATGAATATGCAAATAATTGAAGAACCGATCACGAACTGTGTGATGGCTCCTCATGGGGTTTAAAGGTGAGGAGAAGAGAGGAATGGCAAAGGAAATGGTAAAAAAAATAGATGTCTGATTAGCTACGGGAGAAGCTCAAAACACAAATAAACAGTGGAATTCTGTGTGTGCAGTGATATCTTGTACTTTTTATAGATCCTAGGATATTCTCGGAAACTATTAGTGGGAATGGAATAGAGAACCACAAGTCGAACATTTTTATCATCGAAAGTTCCGGTCAAAACAATTTCAGTCATTGATCATGCTGTGGTATTTTGAATCAGCTGTGGTATTTTAGGAATTTCCAGTCAAACTATTTCACACTATTTCATAATTTTTAAAGTTCTTTCTAGAAAACATTTTGAAAGCTTCACTTTTTCTTTGACTCCCATTTCTTTAAAAATGACGCCCACCTCCTCCTACTTCTTCTCTTATTCAGTTCCATTCTTTGAAAATATCAAAAAAAGTTTCCCGTTTGGTTGAAAGGTCTGAAGAGGACAACGGAACATACAAAGTGTACAGCAAATAGGACCAATTTGAGAATTGTAGAAAATTCAGAGAGAGAGAGAGAGAGAGAGAGAGAGAGGCCGGAATAAAATGGAACCAGGAGACGAGGAAAGGGGTGTCCTGAACAAATTTGGCGGATCGTATTTCAAAAGAGCTACTGCTCTATGTGTGCAAACATTGAAGAATCAGGGACCACAATCGAAAATTGTGGGCGCGGAGAAGAAAGAAGAATTTAGGAATTTTTGGTAAGAATTTCAAAGGAAGGACTATACTATACTATTTCGTATTGGGTTTCGTTGGGATTTATGGATGTGAGCGGCTATATAGAAGAAGAAAAAAGTGACCGTTGAAAAGTGCACAAATGAATGGTGGAGGAAGTAGTTTAAAACGGAGAGAACGCCTGGATATCGGAAGGACTCCAAAAATGCTCGTTCGTCATAAAAAAACCATTTACATAGAAAGTAGTTCATTTCGAATGTTCTGAATATTTTAAAGGGGACTCCAACTAAAGAATTTAATGCATCAAAATGTTTGGAAATCGACGAATTTTCTCAATTTTATTAGGAGAAAATCAAAAAAAATCCCAAGCCCCCTATAACACAGTTGAGAATTCAAAAAAAAGACGAATAGGGACGATGATTTGAGTTCCCGCGCAGTTAGAAATCTATGGCACGGCGGCTGGCCGTCTCTTTATATATAAATTTTCTTTCAGATTTTTTCAGATTTTATCTCGAAAAAAAAGACATAAAAATCCACTCTCAGCCATTTCAAAATAAGGCTCTGCCGTGGCCTAGGTTTCTCATCGCCCGGGAATTCAAATTTTCGTCCCTACCTTTTTAAGCAAAATGTTCACTTTCAACGTTGAATGAAAATACATAACTTTACAATCATTTCAATTTATTAAAAATTATGGTCGGACTCTCCTTTTTATAAAATTGTCGGTGATTAAACTAGAAAAACCGATACACAGGGAACCAATTAGCGGCGAACTTTCTGTTCTCTCATTATCTAAAAATCATCGTCTTATTTCCCTTTCACCGTCCATACCCACTGGACACGATTCAACAAACAAGTGAGAGAGATTAGTAGATTTGACACAATAGAAAACGAGGTGTTCTCGGAGGATTGAAAAAAGGGTCCATGACTTGTTGCGGTCGAGACCATCTTCTGATGCTGCCGTCATTTAATTAATCAACTGGCAATCATCATCGTCTTCTTTTCGTTTTGCACGCCTCTTGGGTGTGCCCAATTCTTCTCCCCTCAATGTGTTCTACATCTTCACACACTTGCTGACGTTTGAGATGGAAAACGAGAAGAAGAATATAAGAATATATGAATATGATGGAGAAGAAAGAAATAGAAAAAAGAAGTAGTTGTTACCAACACCTACTGTTTAGAAGGAGAAGATAAAGAAGGCGTTGGAAAAGTGAGAAAAGTAACACCTTCTATTGGAAACGATACGGTATCACAAAATTGATACGAATCAAATATAATGGAAAACCGATCATCGAAGTTTGACATTTTCGATCACATATTATTATTGTAGGAAAAAAAGATTCGAGAGATAAACAAAACGAGAGGAATCATATCCTCAAATCTCAATTGCTCAAAATTGAATTAAAAGATCGAAAATTGAAATCATTGTTTAGAACAAAAAGATATTTAAAAATCAGTGATAGAAGGAAACAATTTTTTCCGAATTTTGAGAAAAAGTATACCCTGGAAGCTCTCTACACTTACTCAATAGTCCCCAGTGTCCAGAATCCTGGACCAGGGTGCAAAAATGACAGAATGTGGACGTCATCTCTCTTCTCAAATCGCTACGTAAAATCTTCCATGCCTTGGAAAAAGAGCAACCGGAATTTCGAACATCTAGACTTTAGAGGTCTCCTTCAAAGTAATCGGATATATGTACAACATTTAGGATCTAGTATTCTTTTGGTTTTCTTCTTCTTCATCTTTTCTCTTTTGCATCTTGTTGTCTTTCAGATGAAATCAACAGAAACAACAGCTGTTCGGTTGTCGGTGGTCGCAAAAAAAGTAAGAAAAAACGAGGCACAGGAAAAGTTTGATGACAAACGGCCCAATAAAATGTTAAGTAGTTTTGGTGAAGACTGATATGGATGGAATGGAAAATCAGAAAAAAGGAGTAAGGGGTGTCAGTTTTTTTTCTCCCGTATCACATGCGTCGTTTCCGATCGTTTAGTTTTTTTTTTTCTGTCGTCCCGTTCCAACAAACCTAAACTGTCCAATAGAGGGAGGTGTCCAATTAGAATTAAACGACCGCGTATATAGAGATGGATTTATTACAACGCAGCTAAAAAGAGGAAAAGGAAAACGGATGGAAAACGGGGATGGGAATGAGAATCAGTAGACTCTTTTGTAAGTAGCAGTATAGGATTCGGTGTCGTAGGCGGTTTCAGCACGGATCTGAAATTGAAGAATGTTGTATTTGAAAATAAATTGGATGCTCTGATAGAGAGAGGCTTATGGGAAAGAGAGCTGAGGAAATGATTGATCACAAATTTTCGGGATAGTTGAAATTCTTGTCCAAAACAAATTTCCAGTATACTGGTTTTTCACTCACCTTCATAATCATAGTGTTGTAATCGGGAAGTTCCAATTGTCTCTCGAATTCTCTGATCTCCAAATTGTTATTGTTTCCAACATCGAAACTTCTTCTCATGAATTGTTTCAAATGGAACGTCATCTTTCCTTCTTTCACCTGTCCCTGCTCCATCATGGACCATCCTTGTGAAGAAGTGGTCAAATAGGCGACATGGACACGTGGATCTCTTCTAGTTGCGTTTTTTACTGGCATGAATCCGTAGTCATGACGGACGACGCTGTTCCTGTCGAAGTAGGTGTGGCTGGAAATTTAAAGTAAAAGCTCATGAAGTGTATAAAATCATTTTTCGCTGACGTTAGTTGTCTCGTTCAATTAAAATGGAGGTACCGTAGAACCTATATTAGAAGCGCGCCCTAACTTTTAACTTTGAGTCAATTTATCTCGGTTTCTGTCAAATATATGAAAAAGTTGTCAACTGACGAAACATTTTTGATATTGTGGCAAATAATTTATTAATTGACAAGTTTTTGATATCTGTTACAGGAATCGATATAATTGAGCTCAAAGTTTTCGGATTGGGTGGGCTTCTATTGAAGGAAATATGGTAGTTTTGATACTCTAATAGGCTAAAACTTATGATCTTGCCCTTTTTTAAAATCCGAGAAGTAAAATAACGTGAAACCTGTGATAGAGGAGCTCCCAAACTTTTAACTTTAAGCTCAAGTATCTCGGTTCCTATGAGAGATATCAAAAATTTGTCAAGTGATAAAATATCAGTGATAATATGACAAATAATGTATCAGTTGAAAAATGTATGCCATCTTTTATGGGAATCGAAACAACTGAACTCAAAGTTGACAGCTTGGATGGGCTTCTATTCAAGGAAATGTTTTGATACTTTAAAAAAGCTAAAACTCAGGATATTGCTTCTGTATTAAATTTCAGAACTAAGATGTAACGTACAAAATCTACAAAACTCACGTAATGTTGACAGCTCTGGCTCCAAACTTCGGAATGGGATTGATGGCGTAATCGATTTGTGATGGAGGTGGCAAGTCTCTTTGACGTCCATTCGACCCCTGTGATCATTTTGTCATTGTTCCTATCAAACTCACAAGAACAAAAGACACAGTATTCAATGCTTTCACAGATGACAGAAACGTACTATTTGATGGTTGGAATGTTTAAAAAAAACCAAAAAAAGTGATGATAGAACGATAGAGATTGATAAGAGAGAAGAAGAGACAGGGAAGTTGAATTGGTTGATTGGGAAAAAGTAAGAGAAACTGTTACCGTCAAGGACCATAATCCGATGAATCGATCGATAGGTCTCAGATCCCATGGCATTTTAGACCTATCATATTCTAAAAATTAATTTATAGTCTGGTGAAAAATTAACAGAAAAGATGACTCACTGTCTTCGTATCTGGCAATTACAAAGGTGAGAAATATCACCGCGCATAACAACCGAGAAGTTACGATCATCTGAATTCATTTTAAAATTCTAGGATACGAATGAGCAAGTATGAGAAGAGTTCCGAGTTCGATGGAAAAAGTTGCAAAGTGCGCGTGGCGCTAAAAACTGATCAGAAAGTGAGGTTTTCCAATGTAAAGACGACGAAAAAGACGAGGGCTTGCCATCGGTCACGAACTGGTTTTTCTTCCCTTTCTTCAACCTCTTCCGCCATGTTTATCATTCACTACGGCTTCTTACAGAAGATGGTGATGACGTGAAAGATGTTCCGAATTGATTATGTTAACTTGGAAAATCATGAGACATTGTGGAGTCGGAAAGAAGAAGCATTCATTCAAAGGCTATGGGAAGTTGAGGAAAAACTATTCATAATTTCCAGATGTAGTGTGTTCTGAGTATCATTTTCTGTAATTTTGAGTGAATGAGGCCTCCATCTTTAATAGCCTTCTACAAAACTAATTCATGAGATCCTTGATAAACTAGAAATCTCTTGTCATGGCCGCAACGGTTTCCAGATCAGTCGATACTTCTCGGAGAACTCAATTTTACAATTGCAAATTAATACAATGCCCATTCCTTTTCTTGTTGTATATTAAACGATTTGCTTGGCCTTTTTCCAAAGAATGTACATGTCTCAGCCTTTGCCGATGACCTCAAGGTCATGGGTTCAAATCCAGTAGAACTACAGAAAAGTATAGAAATTTTTGAAAACTGGTGTCAAATCTGGAAGCTTAATCTAGTCGAAAAAAAGACAGCCTTCCCAGTTTTCCATTATCTTGTTTTATATTTTAATTACAGATTCTCCCGTCAAGCTCAACTTCTTGTTTTCGTATTTCGCGCCGACGCGCCGTTTCTCTTCCCGCTCTCCGTCGCCGCCACACTCCCTCGTCGGTCGAAAAGGAGCGCACTTGCTGCATAATTTTAGGCCCTTTTAGTTGGAATTTCTTGTCGGAAGGCAGACTCATAACTTCACTTTCCTTTGCAAAAATTGGTGCGAGTTCTGTCTCGGAACAGATTTTGTTTCTTCGCAGATTATTGCAGATTCTTTTAACGCATATGGGACCGATCCACCGTGGAAAAGCCCCCAACGAGTCCGTCGTCATAGCAGAGGACTCGTACTACGCAGATCTTATATTTTTACTCTCTTCCTCTTGTGATGTTTAGAAAGCAGAACTACCCTTCTCTTCTCATCATATAATCCCCTTTACAATGTAAGAGGTGTCCCATAATTCAAGCAGTCACATCTGGAGTTTTAACGCGGCAGACACACCCTGTACGCTTTCTCCAAAATTCAATAAAACATATTTAGTTTCCATAGCTGTCTTTTTAGTCTATTTCAGGTCCCTTTCTATAAACAATTCACTTATCGTAGTTATCCAAGTTGTCTTCTCCATCCTACACATCTCTTAGTCTACTTCCAACATCTACCCGTGAACTGGTTGTTCTCATCGAACTTCCAGGTCATCACACGTCATGCACTGGGAAATGCAACTCTCACACCAGACATGAGCGGAATAAAAATTTTGAAAATCAGGAATAAGGAATAAGGAATAAGCAATAACAATTTAAAAATCCGGAATAAGGAATAAGGAAGAAGGCATAGAAAAAAACACCCGGAATAAGGAATAAGGAATAAGGAACGAAAGTTTTCGCGATGCTAACTCAATTTCATCTTTCCGTTTTTTCTCGCCAATTGCATCATTTTTCATCTGAAATTTCCCAATTTCACATTTTTAAATTGACAAAAAAAACCTTTTCATTTAATTTTGGATGATATCTGCTCAAATGATAAGAAGCAGAATTCGTTCCACTCGTTTTTGTCCAAATAATTTTCGCGTCATATTCTTGACAAGTTGCCTCGTTTTCTCTTCTGAAGAGAATTCGTCAAACTTGCTCCATTTTTTAGACATTTTTTCTGAAGTATTTAGTAATTGTAAAAACCAAATTTATTTCGAAAAAAACACTGAGAAAAACGCATAACTTTTCCAAGATTTCCAAAAAAAAAATTTGAGACCCCGCAAATTCCGGGGAAAGAAAAAACCGTGGAAAAAAAATCGGGGAAAAGTGGGCGGAGTCGGGGGCGGAGCCTAAAATGCAACCCTGGTACGGTTTTGCCGCAGGGTTTTTCTGCACATTTGGACACGGTCATGAGGGGGCGGAGCCTAAATTGCAACCCTGGCACGGTTTCGCCGCACGGTTTTTCTCGACGCCGCCCACTTTCCCCGGTTTTTTTCCCCGATTTTTTTCCCCGGAATTTGCGGGGTCTTAAAAATTTTCAAAAAACGGTGCAAAGGTGCTCCGCTGAACAAAATGTTACGCGGCAATTTAGAGCGTTCAAATTTTTTCCCAGTTTTGAGAATTTTTTCTGATTTTTGATTGAAAAAGTTTTAAAGTTTTGAAGAGAAATAACAAAAAAATCAGGAATAAGGAATAAGGAATAACAATTAAAAAACTCGGAAGAAGGAATAAGGAATAAGGAATGAAAAATTTAAAATCCGGAAGAAGGAATAAGGAATAGAAAAAACACCGGGAATAAGGAATAAGGAATAAGGAATAAGGAATTCCGCTCATGTCTGCCTCACACCGTTTACCGTGTCAACGACTCTCCCATCACTACCCTGCCTTATATTCTCGCCTATTTGACACTTATGTCACACTTATGACCCATTATCGAGTATGGTTGTGAGCTTTTTGACCCTTCCAACTCCACACTTGCCAATAAATTAGAATCCCCCCTTCGTTACTTCTCTAGACAAGTTTTCCAAGTTGTAATATGCCCTTCCGATCGTATGAAGATAGACTTTCACATCTTTATTATTATTATAACATGTTGCTCAAATAAATTCATTATTGTTACAAAGAAACAGAACAGCTATTCGACTCCACGATTTAAGACTTCACAACAGTTATTGGGTACTTAAAAAAACTTTTGATGAATCTCGAAAACTGATGAATAGTTTTTGAAAATGTCTGGGCCCGCACTTGGGTCCAAGGCAACGGGTCAAAACTAACTTTTAGGCCAGAAGAAATTTAAAAATTTCAAAGTGGACGTGGATTCACCTATTTGTTTTCAATCAACGAGTTTCAACGCGTGATTTTTTCGCCCAACGTTTATGGGGTTATGCACGATATAAATTTGCAATAAAAATGGGAAATAAATACACAAAATTACTATGCAGATACGCAAATAAATTTATTTATTTCC